AACCTTCCGGTTTACCCGGAAGAAAGGGTCAAGTGAGTTCACGTTCACGAAAAGAAATGTTCATTAATTCATGGTCTATCTTATTACTAAATATATAAACACATATATAATATGTGTGTAGTAAAATGCTTCCCCTTTTGAGTTATACTCGGTTTTTATTGCACTTCCGGTAACACCGGAAGTGAAGGTCAACCGGTTTTAGGTCCGGGGGCAAGAATTGTTTCTCACAGCATAGTCTACAACTTCGTTTGTTTGGATCGGTTGTGGTTTGCCATGAAAATTGCGAATTTTTTGAAGCCCTTTTTACGGCCATCGTTCGCTGGCCTCGCGTTGCTGTCAGTTGTGTGGACAAGAAAATAGAGCAGCGTGACACGGCAACTGACTGGTATAATATTTTCGTTTGCACGATGTATTAAACTCACCAGTTTAAAGGCTTTTATTGAACGTTTCAAAGTGCTTCTCTCCGAATTGTATTTCCGTAGTCTTGTAACTTTGTGAAAACGAAAATCGTTCGCGCCAGACAGTGTCCGAGGGCGGATCCGTTTGGGGACTGGAGCAAGATATGGGAGAAATAAAAAAAAAATAGAACTTTGTTGTGAAATTCATTCGATAGGATACAAAAGTGGACTTACGGTCTGAAGAGCCTTTTCTTTTTAATTTTCGGACGATACTTTCATGTCGAAATCAGCCTCGTAATGAAGAAATAAATCGTACTTCAGTTCGTGAAGAAATCGAAATATGTATGGGTGCACCGCGCAACTCAACTAGCAGACTGGTACTTGTCATGATGTGTGTCACATTTTAGTAAAAATGATCCCGGCATTATAGCCAGCTGGCAGAGATCTTACCACACACGAAAGGGGGAAAATAAAGTCTATAACATTGTTGTAAATAACAAAGGTGAACCCATTAGGCCAAGCGCAGTTTTTTTCCGTTTCTTTAAGTCTCTAACCAATGCATTAATTATACTGGAAAACATTGAGTGTCAAAATATTTTATTAAATTAAAACATTTGTAATTATAAAGATGCACTGTTTTGCGCCACGATTTGTTGTAATCCCTCTGAGGTACAATGGACGCGTCCAAATTTTAATCTTCGTATCCTATTAATAATTAAACAGGAAAAGTCATAATCTTTTGGTATGGGAACCAAATTTATCATGATATACCGTAGAGAAAGCTACGTAGGGGTCACGTTGGTATTCTGGAAATGACGATTCCATTTTATTGAAGGGTAAGTCTTATACAAAAAAGAAGAATGTTCACCATTTACTCATAAAAAAATAAAATAATAACTCTCCGCGACAATAGATTTCATTCCAGCTTTCTTTTTCCTCACATCCTGCATTATATTTGTTTTCACTTTTCAGTGCCGCCTGTGGCCCGCCCCGTCACTCAATCGTATGAAATGCTCTTTCCAACAATACAAGAATTATTTTGATTGGAGGAGGAGGGAAAGTGTTTTTCCAATTCAATCCCGGCACTCCTCTCTTTCCAGAGAACATTATTTTGTGGTAACTTCAGTAGGATCATGCCATACACGAAATGGCACGGGATCTAAAATAAAGTCCTTCAATTTATTATTGTTTATAACAGGGGTAAACCCCGGTATTAGGGCTAAGCTTTTTTTTTCGTTTCTGTACGTCTCTAACCAATGCATTAATTGTACTGGAAAAGCATTGAGTCTCAAAATACTTTATAAAATTAATACATACATGCGCCGTTTTGCGCCACGATTTGTTGTAATCCCTCTGAGGTATGGACGCGTCCATTGACCCTTAGTGTTAATATGCGACACGGACTCATTATGCATTATTATGACTCATCACGTCGAGCTGTACTATACTGTGAACTTGATAAAACACCACCTGACCTATGCACTTCGAGCTGTATTGTCACGTGTACACAACTTCCATGTGTGAACGTGCTCCGTTGCTGACTTGTTGGTCCACAATTATTGTGTTTCCTGACAGATGATGTAAAAGAAATCTTACAAAGCTTTTATCTTTCACTGATCATGACATTTTCAGCACTGTTTATTTTATTTGTCAAACACTTTGGAAAGGACATTTTATTGTAAATTCTTAGTGGTTTTTCAAACCCTTTTTTAATCCAGAAAGACTTTAAGACAATACTTGCAAAACCAGGCTGCTTGGCACCCAAAACACACTACTTTACAATTACAGCAAAAAACCAGAATACAAACACTGTAATGCTGAAAAGTCGTTTTCATACTCTTGGGTACAATAGAGTACATAAAATGCAAAGTCCACAACCATATTTGTTTTGGTATAAAGGAAAGTCGTTATCATACTCTTAGGTACAATAGAGTACATAAAATGCAAAGCCCACAACCATATTTTTTTGGTAGTTCCTCCAGAGTAAATATACATGTATGTGTTTCATATTACACAAGTAACAGTCATAATGCGTGTACGGTAGACTATTTATAAACCAAATGCCAACTTCATTAAAGTTACGATCAACTTGTGAAGTTATCAATTAAATTTTTACTATTCTTTGCATGTGCTCTTTTTACATGTTGGTCCAGAGGAATTGTTGTGTTTCTCGACAGAATGATGTAAAAGAAATCTTACTATGCCTCTATTTTTAACTAATCATAACATATTCAACACTGTTTTTTTTTCTTTTTCAAATACTTTGGAAGGAAAATTATACTGTAAATTCTTAGTGGTTTTTCCAACCCTTTTTTTAATCCAGAAAGACAATACTTGCAAAACCAGGCTGCTTGGCACCCAAAACACACTACTTTACAACAGCAAAAACCAGAATACAAATACAAACACTGTAATGCTGAGATGTGTCTAAACTATTCAAAAAGCCTCTCTAAACCTGAAGCAAAAGCAAAAATGTCGCGCAATTTTGTTTATAAAGAACTCCATGATAAATTTTTCTTTATTAGCATAAATGGACTGTGAACCTCTTATCACTTAAAACAAATACATGTACATGTAAACAGCATATGATATAAGATTTGAGGCTTTGCATGGTGGGGTATCGGTATCGTTTCGGGTTTTTGCGGTAACACCATGTGGTAATAACTACTGCTTAGAAGATATTAGTTCTGAGAAGAACTTGTCCTGCTTATTATCAACTTGCTAAGTAGTTTTTTGTTCTGTTTAGAACAGTCCTGCTGTAAGTTCTAAAAGAACTTACAGCAGGACTTACACCATATGCTGTAAACAGCATATGGTAGTGCATACAGGTAATTCTGGTGTCATAGACATTGTATTTGAACCCAACTTTTATTTCTGTAATTACATGACGGATACAGACATGCAACTGGGAATTAAAAAAAAAACATGAGGAAACTCCAAACCACACAAGACTTTGTACAGTATTTTTCAATTTGTAATGGCATTCGTGAAAAGTAAAAACGAGGAAAACAAATGAGAAAAATGAGAAAAACAGCGGATCCAAGGAAAAGTTGCATGCCTCAGGATAAAAGGCAATAGCGATTTCTTATGTACACTATTACTGATTCAAGCCCAAGACTCGCAACTATTTCAGGAACAGACTGATGCCTAGATCATTGATTCAAGCATCAGTAATGTCTTAAAGATACAGTCTCCAACTCGTGCTTATGAAAACACAGCCCATCTGTGACACTGGAATTACCCACATCGGGCAAATTGAAACCATGGATGAAAACAACGAACACAATTGTATACAAACAGAAAACGGTTAAATACTGAAAACAGGTGTTATAATGCTTCATTATTTATGAGAAAGGTGGACATAAAAATATGATAAAATACCTCGGACAAGTCCAGTCTTTAATTGCCCATGATAGAAACATAATGTAACTATTCATAAGATGGAATTCGCGTCGGGGTGATGTATATCAATATTAGGTTTTGCCCTTCACCGACGTAAAAACACTGTATACTCTGTGTGTTACCTCCCGAGAGAGATTTGGAAATTTCACTTGGGTGGGACTCCAACCCACGACCTCACTCGACCACCGAGCTTGCGGGATCAATTGGCTGGTACGAATCTGATGTAGCAGCGAGTTTGAACCAGCCAACCGATCCCGCAAGCTCGGTGGTCAAGCAGAAAGCAGGAGGTCGTGGGTTTGAGTCCCACCCGAGTGATTTTTTCCAACTTTCACTCGGAGGTAACACACTGAGTAAACAGTGTTTATGTGTAAGTGAAGGGCAAAACTTAAGATTGAGAAACATAATGTAAGCTGTTCTATCAGGGCACCACCACACATTGTGTTGTGTGTCCTGAAATCATAAGTCCCATCTTAGCATCTGATGCTCAAGTGAGAAGTGTTACATTCCCAGTTCTCTTAATTTTTACCCAAATTACTTGTATACCCCAAAAATTTATTAAAGTTTATGAAACTCATTAATGTACCAAATACTACGCCTGAATATTCTCTTTGGTTTCTCTGTGTGGAAAAATAGATTTTTATTGAATGATAAAGACAAGTTCATTATAGATATATTCTGTCTTGAAACAATACAGGTTTCCTTGATAGACTTTGTTTAATAGTTGAGAAACTAAATAATACTCAGAATCAGACACAAGGTCTTTCCAATATGCGTAAAGTACTTTTGTTGCTATGCATATAGTACTTTGGTTGCTATGCATATAGTACTTTAGTTGCTATGCGTATAGTACTTTTGGTCGTGCACAGCCAGATAGCAAAAATAGCGATTGCCATGTAACTAGGCTCATTTTGGCTTGGAGAGGCCCTCATTATTTTTTGTTATTTCCCCATTTCTCTACACCTACTACCCCTAGCCTGGAGAAATTGTGTGCAATGTGTTTACAACTTAATACCTAAGCACTTCTTGGCATTTCTATTTATCACAACAATATATGAAATATCAAGTTATGAAGCAATTAAGAAAAATAACAAAAATATTCTCAAATTTCAAAAAATTGTTGAGGGCGGGGACGAGAAACACGTAATTTATGTTATTTGGCCTTAATCACTGCTGATTTTTCCATTAAAACAAATATTTAAGCACTAGGGCACCTCTGACTGATTTCTTTTTTATTTTTGTTTCTTTGGGTGTAATTTGTCAGACGGGAACGATAGAAGAGAAGATTTTCCAGCGTCAGGTCCACAAGAAGGCTCTGTCCAGCTGTGTAGTGGATTATGAGGAGGACGTGGAAAGGCACTTCTCCCTGGATCAGCTACGAGACCTCTTTCCTCTCAATGAGTCCACCATCAGTGATACGCATGACAAGTGAGTGGGGATCAGCAAAGTGTTCACTCAGTCACTTTGCCTTATACTGTAAAAATGCTCTTTCGTCGGACGCTTTTCCATTATTAACCAGTTTCCAAGAAAAGGGCCTTTTCTTTTCTTGCCCTGCATTTATGAAAAAAGTGACGCTTGGTGGTACAAGTCGAGTGCGAGAATACTTAGAATTAAAAATTGTGTCAATGAGGGCAGCCAACAGAAAACGCCAGCTTGCTTACGTCATGGTTCAACTCTACGTCATGGCCGTACCTTGAAGTCATCTATGTAGCAGATGCTCCTGTAGCAGATGCTCCTGTAGCAGATGCTCCTGTAGCAGATGCTCCTGTAGCAGATGCTCCTGTAGCAGATGCTCCTGTAGCAGATGCTCCTGTAGCAGATGCTCCTGTAGCAGATGCTCCTGTAGCAGATGCTCCTGTAGCAGATGCTCCTGTAGCAGATGCTCCTGACGGCTTTTGCTTTACTTCTTGCTTTTAACATAGTGGGCAGAGCAGAAACTCCCCGTAGGTACAGCGTGTGTCAATAAAAACGCAGGATTAGAAACAAAAATATTAAGAATATAAACCACCCCTATTCATCATAATTTAACCCTCTTTTCAAAGTACCTTTCCTTCTCTTCACTATGCTTTTTATCCCATCTCATTTGGACAATCCTGTCCAGAGATAGAGTACATTGAAGAAAGGTTATAAATTCCAAGCTGGTGAGTGATTTGTGAAATCACACATAACTAATGAAAGGTTTGAATTCAGTACAGGTGAAAGTATTTGTGGATTGCAAAGAAGGACATGTGTGGCAGTATTAGGCTTACATAATCCTTTAGTCCACAATCAATGTTATTAGTCAATAATTCATGATGTTTTGAAACAATGATAGTCCAGTTATTAAATTTAAGTGATACTTATCATCAGTTGTTTCAAAGAAAGTTTTGTTCATGTTTAATTGTCTTCAATGCATACCTGCATTGTACATAACTGGTCGTTGTGTTAAGGTCATTGAATCATTGCTTCAGAACGGCTTCACAAAACTTGTCATAACTTTGAACCAAAAGTCCAAATTCCACCAAACAAAAATCTTGTCAAAGGTGAAATTATGGACAATCAAATCCTTACCAAATTAGGCACACCAGTAGCATAATTTTCTCAGAAAAAAAAATCGCTTTGAATCCTGCGTTTTTATTGACACACGCTGTAGTTTTCCATGTTGTTGGTTGTTTCAAATATAATGTTCAAAATCTGTCAGTATTTGCCACATTAAAAGTGATCATCGTTAAACAGTGCACAATATGCATTCCTGATACAAAAGAAGGCCCCGTCCCGACAGTGACTACAAGTCAGGGTCAGAGTCCGGCTCTTAAGTGCCATTGTTGCCCATTTGAAGACTCAGCCCCGCCCACCTTTAATATGCCTGCATTTCGCTCAGTGCTTGTAACCGAGTTGATCGAGCTACCGTGGTCACGTGACCAAAAAGTCATTTACTGATTGGTCGATGCACTCTGCTTGAGTGACAGGCACAAAGGTCCATTGGCCTCTGTTTGGTGACATCTTAATGGTTCACTTGTGCGAATCACTCTAATCTACTTGTCTTACTCTATTTTTTTTCAAAGGATTAAATGCCGTCGCTGTGTCAACAACATCCAGGCACGCCCGCCTCCAGCGGACACGGACTGCAACAGCGACCTGGCCCACTGGAACCACTGCGCCGGCAAGCGGGGAATCCCAGACGCGGTCCTGAAGCAGGCGCTTGAAACCAACCGAGTCACGTTTGTCTTCCATCACTGATCGCATGAACAGATTAAGTCTGTTTAGTGAGATTAAGTCTGGCTTTCCTGCCGTGTTGCAGTCAAGGTTCTCCTAGCTGATGGAGCGCGGGTACCTCACAAGTCCAGTCTCAAGTAGCACGGGATGAACAATATGCCATAAATGCCTTTATCACAGTTCATTGGAGTAGCTTGTGAGTTGACTTTTTGGATTTGGCGACTTGTGAGTGACTTGTAATGGACTTGTTTTATTGCAAGTGCTGTGACTACATGACTGCTTGCTTATGGCTGTGTGTGGTTCATGCACGATTTCCCTCTTTTTTTATGGTGCCAAGAGGGGGGTTATGACCCCTAACCCCGCCCCCATTGGATCCCACTCTAGAAAATGTGGTATTACTCAGTTTTTACAAGATAAAGAAAGTACTGGAAGATATTTGCATTGTTTTGATGCAAAGTTTTTTTTTTGGTATTAGTGCATTGTATTTGAAAAGGTTATTTCCAAAACACGATAAATGTTATTTTGCTCCCTTTTAAAATCCCGCCCTCCCCTAGCTGCCCAATGTCAGTTGCGACAGGTTTAATGTAGTTAAATACATGTTCGACTTAATAAGTTAATAAAGCGAAAAGTGAAGTTTAGAAACAGCTGTGTTTTTATTCTCCCAAACTTCATAATTATGGAAATTGTCCATGTTTTTCAAATGGATATAAACTCTTCATTTGTTTCTCAAATCGTGTCTTTTATCAGATCTCCCGTATAACCCGTTGCTGTATTACAAAAACATGGCATCCAAATTGACCAATCATCAACGAAGTCCACATTTCTGATCGAAATGGCCTCACAGTTTCTAACGTATTCTCAGATAAATTGAGCATGTACGTGTATTAGACGTTCGATGTGGCTCTGCAGACGTACGTGAATGTGCGATCCTCGGACTACTCTTCAGGGGGCCGATTGAAAGTTTGAGTCATAATAATTCACTGGGTTCAAATACTCGGTCGGGACGCGCACACATTACCATTGCACACGAGCTCTATATACTAATTAGAAAAGAAAGTAATTATCAAGTGCAAATCCTGTAGGCCTAAAGTAAATGCAAAGACCGAAGGAGAATCATTTCAAACAAAACACTTTTACTTATATAATTCGTTTCTTTTAATTTGCAAGATACTCTTTGGTACATGTATATCATAGAGACTAAATTAACATAAATTATATAATTTATAAGCATTCAATCCACCTTTAAATGAAATACATATAAGCCCATAATACACTGCTTAAATCATTAAGTGTAGAACTGGTGTATCAAAATGTGTAGTTCAAAATCCACTGTGTGGCCTCTTCAGCAAATAACACTAAGAACCACCAGCCACTTATCATAATGCTGTAAATGCACTAAACGCCAATAGAAACGCCATTTTAATATTTAGTAACTTGCAGTTGATCTGTCTTTTTTTCTTTAAAGTAGAATTACATGTAGTCTTTAAATTATGTTGACATTCTGTAAACTTTAACGATCAAAAATAAAAGAGATTTTAAAAATTGTACAACGTGATGTAAAGGGGATGCCCCTTTAATTTGACAAGTGATTTTCATTTTAAGCTCTGACAGGAGTGTCAGAGCTTAAAATGACAATATACTAAATATTAAAATTGAAACTCCAAAGAAATATATTGCACTTTTCAAAATTGACTTCACGTGATGGGCTCCATTTAAACTCGCTGGAGGTAGTTTACACTGGTATTTGATAATGTAACAAAAACAAAATCTTTACACTGGTATTGTTCATGTGTAGTGTAAAATGCCTCATCATTTCCAACAGATTTCTAATAATTTTGTGTGTGGAACGCCACCATAAAATTACAACATGAATGTTTCTTGGGAGTGATTACGGTTAGAAATCATTCTGTCCAAGATTGTGGCAAGAGAAAGGGCAACCCGGTGGAAATGCCCAGAGCTCATGGAGGGTCCTGGAGGCTCATAGACACAGTGGCGTAGGTTCCAGCACGAAAGTCACGAATGAGTTCACTTTGTGTCTTCTTGAGACAGACCTGTAAAAAAAACTTATGTAAATTATTGCTAAATTGGGATAATCAGCAGTGGATCATGTCACCCGAATGCAAGACGTTCGGGTTTGAACTGTGAACAATAATTATCTCATTAGAAAACAATTCCCTTTCTTTTAAGCATAACAATGCAGTGGCGGCACTGGGGTTGGGGGGGGCGCCATGGGGGATTTGCACCACAAGTTATTTCCTTGCCCCCCCCCCCCCCCCCCCCGTTCATAATAACTTGACGATAGAGAGTGAATCATCGGTTCTGTGGACACATTTTGGGCCAATGGAAGCATTATAAACATTGGTACCGTAATTTGGTAGACAAAACACGCCACACACACATTCATATACAGCACTGATAGGGTGCAGCCTTTGATACAACGGGATCGGTTGGCCGGTTCCAATTTGCCGCAAAAATTCCATCTTATAATAGTTTATGCGGTACCCGCTACTACATCAGATTTGAACCGGCCAACCGATCCCGTTAGCTCGGTGGTCGAGTGGTGAGACATCTGCACTACAAAGCAGGAGGTTGAGGGTATGAGTCCCACCTGAGTGATTTTTCCAACTTTCATTCGGGAGGTAACACACTAAATATACCGTGTTTACAAGTCGGTGAAGGGCAAAACCTCATTTGAATGTTTACCGTTGTTATGTATTAGCTGAACATCGATTGGTATGGTTACACCACAGATCAGAATAATTTTGTGCACTCTTATCTCAGGGTAACATGTTTTCAAAAATAATATAAGTGTGTGGCCGTGATCTGCTGGAGCATCTGAACTTTTGAAACGTGTTTAAGAAATGTTATTCCTGAAATTTAAAAAAGTAATACAAACTTGATGCAGCCTTAAAAAGGAAGCGGGTGGGCCGTTGGGTTATTTGTGGTTTCACGGAATAGACAGAGCAACAACAACATTAGGAATCGGTTCCTAAAACAATATTTAAAATAATAAAATCAGTAAAACGGTGTCAGCTTGAACAAAAATTGCAGTGGTAATGCTGCCTCTCACAGCTTCCAAAAAGGGGAATATACATTAATTTTCTTCAAATTAGGTTTTGCCCTTCACCGACGTTTTTAAACATTGTATACTCGGTGTTTAAACAGAGTATACAGAGTAAACAGAGTATACACTGTATACTCAGAGTATACAGTGTTTAAAAACGTCGGTGAAGGGCAAAACCTAATTTGAATAATATCACCCCTGCGCAAAAATTCCATCTTATAATCATTAATTTTCTCTTCTTAAAAAAAGTTTGCAAACAAAAAAAGTGGGTCAATTTGATGAGACTTTTGACATGCTATACAACAATTATCTAACCAGCCTGTAATGTGTACATGTGCTCACAATCTCTTTTTTTTAAGTTAAAAATAAACAAGTAATGCTCATTCAGTACAGATTGAACAAACCTATGTAATCTAAATACCATGCTTCTTGTGTGGGTAACAACATGTGCAGGCTTAAATCCCCCAACTAAAAGAATATATAAATAAATGAATGAATTAAGTTAGATTATTTCGTTTTCCCGGCTATTTTAAAACGTTTATCATTCGAATTCACCGTTTCTAATATTCATATTCGCCCATCACCATCGAGTACACTTCCAACGTTTAATTTTGTGTTTTGTGTGACAATATAAAATTTAGTTCAAGCAATTTTGAAGTTCACGTTTAGGCTCAGCGGCTAGTATCGATTTTGTCTAGTCTACGCCAAACCTTTTTAGTCAAAAAACGTAATTCGTCTAATTGATTTATAAACAACGAATTCGATTTCTGAATGCTGCCATTCGGCAACAGCTTGAATGCATTTGATTTGTAATGATCTTCAAATGGAACTTGAAAGAAGTATTATCTGGCAAGTGCTCATTGCATGCGAAAAGGTTTCTGACTGTGTCAATAGAGGGCGCTGTTTCTATTTTTTTTTTTCTCATGCAACATTTTCGGCCTTTTTATCCCAGATTATCTCATTTCAAAACAGACTGTGGATCGGGGAACAATATATATTTTTTTAAGATATGGTTCATCATAATCTACATGTCTGGAAAGTTTTATAAAATTCGGCGGACCAGATCGCGCATCTCGAAAACTAAAGTGTTTTCGGCCTCTCGTCCCACGGACTAAATGGGCACGCGCGCGAATACACAGGAAGTTTTAGTTGACTGCCCCCAAATATTTCCCTGACCCCAAATTGCCCCCCCCCCCCCCATTTTAGAGTCTGGCGCCGCCAATTGACCAACGCAAACCCCATCATGTCCTCGTCAGCAGCTAGCATTTGGCGTCATATACTCAAGGTTAACCAAATAGCCAACGCACTTTAACTTTTTAAAACTATGCAATACACTTAAGTCGCAGTTTATCACCCTTTACATGGGCATGATGGGCATGATGTTTGAACAGCGCCCCTTTGAGACTCCACCTCGCCTCCTCCCCTTTGAATTTCCCTAGGCTGCTGGTCCTCCCTACCCCACCTCATGCACAGTTGACAAAAATATTTAGCACCGCTTCTAACCCCTTCCTGGTCCCCGCAGCAACGTTGCACCAACTGTTTTTTTTTTAATACATGTACAATTACACACACTGTACTTACAATGTAGATACCGGCAGCGACAATGCAGGTGAGTAAGATTGAAGCCAAGACCCATAATATCACAATCGAATCGACGGGTTTGTTGGGAATTGGAATACAATCTATCAAAGCAAGCGTTGTTCCTGAAAAGAGTCAAAAGGCACTCTGACACAATATCTGACTTGATTTGTTTGATATGTAACTCAGTGATTTAATTATCATCTGACTTTATTCGATTGATATCTGACTTGATCGAATCACTGAGTTTCATTGTTCCATCACCTAATAGACCCCCATCTGACGTCACATCTGACGTCCTTTTCCTCTGGGATTCGATACGCATTAGTACACACAATGTGTATGTATAATACATTCAGGTGACAGGCACAATCCCTCTGCCTCGTTCTAGAGCACAGTTCCGTTAGAGTTCGCATAAGCAATAGCACAAGGGACTAAACCAAATGAACGAGAAATTATATCTGTTTGTCTATTCAAAGACCTTTTGCCCATGCAGCAAAACGATTCCTGGATAGTTTTACAATTTTGCTGAAATCAAATTCTTTTTGTCAACATTATATTACTCGTGATAGCGGTCATTTAAAGCAAACAAAAGTCGAGTTATATTATTCTTCTTAATGAAGAGAACCAAAATACCGCCAGATTCGCACTCGGGATTGTGTGTGAATGCAGTTACATAATTATTATGAAGTGAACATAATTGCAGGAGTTCACAACGCGTGGTTCACTGATTTCTTCCCATGATGTAGTTAAATTTTACCGTAATCGCAGCCGGTTTTATTTAACCACATCGGTATTTCCCAATCAACATCAAAACAGTATAGAACTTTTACAATAACATCGAAATTACATAATGTATGATTTACAATCCAAGCAGCCAGATATTGAGTCATACTAAGTCTGCGAAATGAAACCTACCTGGATTGATGGAGGACTGAACTTCATCATAAGTTGCCGTTGTTGGTTTAGTTTGGGTAATTAGGCGCACCCTCGTGCGTGTAGAACTACTTCCTACAGCAACACCCATTGCCTCACATACATATTCTATGTCATTGTAATCCGAAGGAACTTGGATTGTTGCTGAAGTTGAATAGGTGTTGTTCCTCAACGACGAACCTGATCGATAGATTTATAGATACTGTACATAATATATGTTTTAATAACAGGTAACTAAAAAAAATCGGAAACGATCATAACTGTGTATGGGGCGCTGTTATGTTCCAAGGTCGGCGATTTTGAAACAGACACACTACGGACGGACACACAATTTTGTCGACAGTGCAACGATTTTGGCGACCAAAAAAACTAAACTATAGGGGGCCTCACAACCCCTCCAGCGATGCCAGTGATTACCTGATTCCTCCACGATTGCTTACCTGTGTTAGCCGGTAGAAATACAGACCTGACTGCTGTTGAGGCCTTGAGTTCCGTCAGCCCGCCCAAAAACCACTTCAATTCCACGGCAGGTTTGACCTGCTCCATGACGCAGGTCAGGTTATGCACCGTGCTGTCGTGTCGTACTCTCACCTCGCACGTGTCTTCGTCTTGGTCTTGATCGCAGCCGATGACGGTAGGATATGGATGACTTGGGGATACTGTTGGTAAAGGGTAATGGAAATCATCACTTTTGCCAAATATATGCATTTTCACTGATTCAAATTAAGGAACAACAATACAATGAATGTGAAGAAGGTTATTCAACAAACTAGCCCGCCCAAATTTCAGCTCAGATAAACTTCTGCAGGAAACACTGAAAGTGCATTCTTTTGTGGTAATAAGATCCCACTTTATTTCGAGATGAGTTCGTCCTTACCATCGGCTCAATGATGGGAATTCCTCTGTTAATACGCAAGTCAAGTCTGGCATAGGCCCACCTCAATAACCATAAAACAGAGACAAGAAATAGAAGTGCAGAAGCGGGCTTGCCGCATTATTCTGGGTCATGAATATGTTAATGATGATGATGCTATCGAGAGGTTAAATATCACCACGCTAGATATCAGGCGCCAAAGCCTTCTGTATAAATTTGGCAAAAAGCCCATGTCTTCAACAGAATTCCGACAAATGCTGCCTCTAGAAAAAATAAATTGTAAAGATTTGCGGTCGAATGGAAATCATGCCATGGTAATCCCAAAATGTCGTACTGAAAGATATAGAAATTCAGTAATCCCATCACTAGTAAGAATTTCAAAGTAATTATGTATCTGATTTTATTCCAAATATAGGTTTTCCCGTCCAATTTCGCACTTAGTGCATGCAAAAGTAAAGATAGGTCATTCAATTTCGCACATAGTGCATGAGAAAGTATAAAAAGGTCATTCAATTTCGCGGATAGGGCAGCGAAAATCACCAATCGGCATTCAAATTCACTATTGGGCAGCCAAAATGGCCAATTGGCATTCATAATCGCTTTAGGGCAACCAAATTCGCCAATCGGCATACGAATTCGTACATAGTGCAACCAAGTTCGCCCTTGAAACCCCCTCGAGCTAAGTTAGAGCATTCAATTTCGCCATAGGGCATCCAATTATACAATTTGTGCATCCAATTTAGCACATATAATTTTTTTACTATTTGTTTTTTATAGCTTTCTCATGTTTATATCTTCTTCCACTTAATGAGCTTGCTTTGTCTTTATTAAGTCGCCGAATAAAAATCATATTTATTGGGTGGCCCAAAGGCAGATGAATTAGCAGAGGGAACATTTCCTAACATTTCCCTTTGTTAATTCATATGCCTTTTTTTATCTTTGTAAATTTTCTTTCATACTGTATATTTTCTTGTGGTCATTTGCACCATCTCTTCAATTATATGCATTGACCAGAGACATAAATCATAACATGTATACAATATCATGATTTTTTCTTTCATATTGTATATATTTACTTTTTGTGTTTTGTATCTTGTATCTGTTTTCATATGACTTTAATCATTTAAAACAATCTTTTCATCACAACTTAAGACATTGATTACGGTTTTCTTTCCTGATAATAATTCTTTGTTGAACCCTTTTATATTGTTTTTAAAACATAATTATAACTAAGTGTATATACTTAATATGATATCGCAACTGCAGATGGTTATATTTTACTGATCTTTGGTAGGAAATTTACATGTTAAAGTTCAAAGCTCAAAACTCAGTCATGTTTTCAGCCATTGATGTTAATTGCGTAATGTCTGCCAATGTAAATTCTCAAGCTGCTGCTGATAATTATATGTGGAAAGCAAAAGGTGAAATGCAAAGAATGCATTACCAAAGGAGATGAAAGGAATATATATACAGTTTGCGCCAAGGCGCTGGTGAGGAACAAAATAACTTGCTCAATAAGCAGGCCAATGCTTCTATAATTTACATTTCACCTCTAGGAGACAAAACAAATACAACTATCGAAGTCCAGGCATCTGTACAAAAATAATGTAAATTGTCCAGTGAAGTTTTATGAATGGTCATTGGTGGCACACATATTGCAGGTTGGGAAAAACGCGCAAAGGATATTTGAATATGTATTACTGTATACAAGTCATGTAAATACAGTGCTAAATTGAATGCACTAGTTATGAAAATGAATACCCTATGCCAAAATTGAATGCTCTATCTTCAGTCACGTGTCCTTCCGTGCTAATTTGAATGCACTACGGCGAATCGGAATGTTGTTTTTACACTTTTGATTGCTCTATGGCGAATCTGAATGCCCATTATGAATTTTTGGCTGCCGTATGGTGATTCTGAATGACTGTTTTTCTTTTTTGACTGCCCTATGGCGATTTTGAATGACTAGTTTGAATTTTTGGTTGCCCTATAGCAAAATTGAATGAACTATTTATACTCTTGCATGCACTAAGTGCAAAATTGGACGGGAAAACCTATATTACTGTATGTGTTTTTTTACCGAAATATCTTATTCACGTCAATATCCTAGTACCATCCCTCTCAACACTCACCCAGCCAAACCCATTCCCTGGTCAGCTTCCCATACCTCCTCCCCCACACACTCCCTTAATATATTTTAAAGTACATTTTCTGTTTTTATGTGCATCTATCTTTTACCAGTCTGATGTTAGCTTTTAGGATCATTGTTCATTGTCGATTTTGTTTTAACTTTAATGTTTTTAACTATTGTAAAATAACCATAATTCAGCCTCTTGACAGCCATGTGTCCTTTAAATGAAATAAATAAACCATGAATATTAATATAATAATAATATAGGTTTTCCCGTCCAATTTCGCACTTAGTGCATGCAAAAGTAAAGATAGGTAATTCAATTTCGCACATAGTGCATGAGAAAGTAAGTTTTATATTGTTTTTAAAACATAATTATAACTAAATGTATATACTTAATATGATATCGTAACTGCAGATGGCTATATTTTACTGATCTTTGGTAGGAAATATACATGTTAAAGTTCAAAGCTCAAAACTCAGTCATGTTTTCAGCCATTGATATTAATTGCGTAATGTCTGCCAATGTAAATTCTCAAACTGCTGATGATAATTATATGTCGAAAGCAAAAGGTGAAATGCAAAGAATGCATTACCAAAGGAGATGAAAGGAATATATATATTCAATTTGCGCCAACAAAATAACTTGCTCAATAAGCAGGCCAATGCTTCTATAATTTACATTTCACCTCTAGGAGACAAAACAAATACAACTATCGAAGTCCAGGCATCTGTACAAAAATAATGTAAATTGTCCAGTGAAGTTTTATGAATGGTCATTGGTGGCACACATATTGCAGGTTGGGAAAAACGCGCAAAGAATATTTGAATATGTATTACTGTATACAAGTCATGTAAATACAGTGCTAAATTGAATGCCCTAGTTATGAACATGAATACCCCATGGCGAAATTGAATGCTCTATCTTCAGTCACGTGTCCTTCCGTGATAACTTGAATGCACTACGGCGAATCTGAATGTTGTTTTTACACTTTTGATTGCTCTATGGCGAATCTGAATGCCCATTATGAATTTTTGGCTGCCGTATGTTGATTCTGAATGACTGTTTTTCTTTTTTTTGACTGCCCTATGGCGATTTTGAATGACTAGTTTGAATTTTTGGTTGCCCTATAGCAAAATTGAATGAACTATTTATACTCTTGCATGCACTAAGTGCGAAATTGGACGGGAAAACCTATAATACTCGTGGTGCTTATATAGCGCAGTTCCAAATTAATGATCAATGTGCTTTACAAACAAAAACAAAGAAAATAAAAAGAGACATTGGAAGAGTAAATCACATAAGAGATCAGGGCAAGCAGGTGTGTTTTGAGGAGGCTTCTGAATGTTTGTGGGCTAGGAGCCAGTCTGATGGTTGATAGGAGATCATTCCACAATCTAGGGGCACAGATAGAGAATGACCTCTCCGCAACCATCCTTTGGCCCCTAGGCACCACGAGGCAAGGGCGGATCCAGGGGGGGGGGGCAAAGGGGGCCCATGCCCCCCCCCAAAAAAAAAGAAACCAAATTTTTTGTTTTTATGTGACATCGCAATAAGGCAGGCAATGAGTACACCACCAACTTTTCCTCAAAAAAACATTGGTTAAAGTGGTCAGAAATTGCCTCAGATCGCACCACAGAGCATCTAGAATCCAAAAAATTTTCGGGGCCCTTAAGCGGGCCCCGAACCCCACGCCGTAATTTTTTTGACCCACTTTTTTGGGGGGACCACATTTTTTTTTGGCCCCCCCAAAAAATTGTGTTCTGGATCCGCCCTTGCCACGAGCCGGGTTGTGTCTGTGGCGGAGCTTAATCCGGGTCAAGAAGGTTTGAAGAATGAAATGCTGTTTGAGAGGTATATGGGAGCGAGACCGTGGATTGACTTGTATACATATAACAGGATTTTCTGTAGACGCTGCAATCTTGAGATGTCAGAGCTGCTGCAACCGGCCAAAAGAGAGTTGGCATAGTCTAGTCTAGACAGAATCAGGGCCCTCAAGGCATGTGTACAGCTTTCCTTGTCAATGAAGCGACGAATTCTGAAGATGTTGCGTCGATTGGAATTGATTGCCTGACAGAGGGATGTAACATGAGAGGACATGGTCATCGATTGGTGGAATGTTACTTCTAGATTTCTCACTGAAATAGATGGGGACACATACTCATTATCGATTGGAAGGTGTAATTGATGAGCTTTGGGAGATTGTTTTGAGATGCAGATATGAAAAACTCAGTTTTGGAGCTGTTTAGTCTCAGCTTGTTTGCAGTCATCCAGTGTCGAACGTCATCTACTCATTTCGATAGCCTATGCAGAGCAACAGCAGCTTCACCTGGAAAGTTGGGATTAAAGGTTATGTAAAGTTGAATGTCATCGAAAATGACAGTTATACTAGGCCCAATGATTTCACAGGATGTTTGATCCTATTATTTACTTCCATTAAAGTAGGATATTTTCTATATTTTGTATAATATTTTGGTACTTTCGTTTTTGAATGATTGAGGTATGTTAATCAAAGTGTGATTCAGAGACTCGAGACAAAGTACAGGAACCAGACGTCATTATTGTTATCGACCTGCGACCAATGTCATGGAGCTGCTAGGCACATGACATTTCCTAAACACAGGAAATATTTCCTTGGCAAAAATATTACCCGCCAACATGCCATGCTGTATTATTGCTTGTGACTGCAGGTTCCCAGCTTATCTTTGTTTAGCACATACGTGTATATATGCTAAGCAATATTTGCTGTTTAAAATATCAATGAAATTGGGAAGTGTGCAGATCCAAATGTCGGAATTTTCTTAATAAATATTCTTCCAAATGTAGTTTTCACATATCCATAGCGATCGTGAGCTAATTGAACTTCTTTTTTGTTTGTGTATATTTTAAAGGAATTTGCAAAATGCTAAGAAACATTTGAAGCAAACAAGTAAAGAGAACTCACAAAATGGACTCACCCTTGTCATAAACTTCAATCTGTCCCTCCTCCATACTTTTTAAATGTGGTTTCAGCTTAAAGTAGTAGGCGCCCTCATTGGAGGCGGTGACGTTCTCAATGATGAGATTGCACTCATCGTCGATATCATAGACGCCCTCTGGGATCCCGTTTTGTGGAGCCACTCTTCCCCAGAAGTACGAGATGAGCAGGGATGTGTCGCTTGTTGAGCCATAGTACCAGTACATCGCGTCGACGTTTGGTACTACCAGTATTTTGCAAGTTTTGCTCAGGGGACAGGGCACGATCCCACGGTGGCCTCGTTCTAAGAACAAGGCTCCATCGGTAATCGCTTGGACTAATGTACCTAAACCTTTAATGAACGACACATTTATGATTTTACTACATATAGCCTACATGAAATCTAGGTCAATTGACATTCTTTTTGACACGATTGTATTGTTCTTGATTAGTAATTTTAATTTGTAGTAAATTAATTCCAGTCAAATAGTTTTCTCAATTTGGACCCAAAGTCAAACACCGCCAGATTTGCCTTCATGATTGTGTTTGGAGGCATTATAGAAGAAAATCATTGCCGTATAGTGATTTCACCCCCAAATGTAGTCAGGATTTCCCGAAAGGTATTTGCCCGTAATTCACAGCCACTTTTATTAACCACATTGGAATTTCCCATACAACCGCAAACTTTTTTAGACTTTAAAACTGAATTTACCTGTAATTTAATTGGTAATAATATTGGGATTACTGGGTTTGGATTTACAATCCATGCAGTGCAGCCATGAGTCCGCAAAAAAAGATTATTATTATTTTGTGAAAGGTGCTTACAGATGCAGTATAACAGCAATGATGATGGTACCCGCTGCATTCGAATTCCGACTCGCCTCGTCATTTTGCCGTCTCTATAATGGAAGCAAAAATGCAATCATAACGTAAAATTTGTTGAAGTCTTTTCCAGAATTATTTTTATTGTGTGACAGTGTCTATAACTATTGATGCCTTAATGTTTATCTTTCTCAGAAACTTATACAAATTTGATATTGGCAGCAATACGAAGGCTATATATAGTGGTATATTAGGACCTTTAAATCCTTCTGTGAATAAGGGTGCATAATGAAGAGATCAATTCTGATGCAGTTTTGAAATTCATTAGCAGCGCCGTTCGATTACTTTCCTCGCGCTTCCTCGCACCTCTATAAGTCTTGGAATTAAGACTACATGTATATGCACGGGATATGTTATCACCCATTTCTGAATATTCTTGGCAAGAGCTTTCGCCACGATTTATGGGAAACACATTGTCACGTGTTGAACTTGAAGGGTACAGTGACAGGAGAAAGAAATACTTGCTTGGCCCCATATTACACAGAATTAAATTAATACAGAGACTTGTGCATTTGAAAACAGTCCCTCCCCCCCCCCCCCAGACACCCCTGGGTTGAAACCATTGAAAGCTCTCTCACCCTTGGATCGTTTGCATTTCCAGAATTTTTGAACATGTGGGGGCATATGCAAATGAGGAATAGTCTGGTGCCGTCCTGTGCTTCACAGCAGCGTTTTTTGTGTGGTGTCTAGGGTAAAAACATAATTTGTCGCGGCGTGAGCATTGCCTGAGTTACGGAAACACGATTTTTTTTTCAAAATTTTTGTTACAATCTTCACCAGACAAATAATACAGTCACATTTTACAACTTGAACAAATTGGAAAGGAAATGATTATTTTTAAGAAAATGTGTGTACGAAATAATTACAAGAACTTAAAAACACGTAATGCACGTTGGAAATAACAACACCAATTAAGTACACGATAGAAATTTATTACTTTCCAATTGCGGTATCGAATCAGGATACAGGAAAAAAGTTTCCTATCCAGGGCTTACTGTTAGAAACGAGGTTGAAAACAAAGTAAGTCTATCTATTCAGTGTGGGCTAGTTGTGATTCCAGCTGCCCAGTTGTCGCTTTCTGTGGAAGGGCGGTATAAGAAACCACATTTGTGTATTGGAGCTGTGTGTAACATTTATGTGACACACACAACATGTATCGTATATTGAATGAAAACGATGGGAAAAACGTATGCTTACTCCAATGGCGTAAAAAAACCAGCAATATATATATATATATAAATATCCAATGAAATCGTCTTCTATCACAATTCACAGTGCTCGATACATCTCTGTAGAGCTATAACCATGCAATAAATTCAGAATAAGAGTTAAACAAACTTTGGCATATCTCTCTTCAAAGAGAGATATGCCAAAGTTTGTTTAACTCATATTCTGAATTTATTGCATATATATATATATATATATATATATAAAAAATTGTTAAAAATGTGTTCACCAAAACCTAACGCAAATTCTATTTTTAATGAAATACGAGTATGCATGTGTATTTCGTAGTCCGAAATTAGTTCATGCAAGTCACGAAGTAACACCAAAGTCCAAACTACACTATGCGCTCACTCGGTATACAATGTATGTATATATATTTTCGTTTGCACGAAGTATTAAACGTGCACTAGTTTAACCCAAAAAGCGGGACCGGGTTATTTTGTTCATCTCTCAGCCAGTGGTGGGGGGGGATCCTAAGATCTCGGCCATGGAGTGACGAAAAATTTTGAAACTCGGTACATGCATAGAGCAACTCATCATGAACAAACCCAAGAAATTTGTGACTATAGGTCAAAGGGTTTTGGAATTATGGCTAATTAATTATTTATAATTATGTACGAGTGGGTTAATTCTCTTCGGCTCTGTGAATACAACGCATATGAGAAAATTCAATTTTCACGGCGCGATTCTTATGTGTTTTGGTATCAAAAGATGCGCAAGGCTCGAGGCTAAAAAGTCGTAACTACGGAAGTGTATTTAGGACATGACCCCAAAAAAATTCCGGCCCTCCATTTCGCCCGGGCGGATTACTATTTCGCCCGGGCGGATTACTTATTCGCCCGGGCGAATTATTATTTCGCTCGGGCGGATAATTAATTCGCCCGGGCGAATTACTATGTCGCCCGGGCGGATTACTATGTCGCCCAGGCGGATTACTAATTCGCCCGGGCGAATTACTATTTCGCCCGGACGGATTACCAATTCGCCAGGGCGAATTAGTAGTCTGCCCGGCCGGGAGAATTAGTAATCTGCCCTGGCGAATTAGTAGTCTGCCCGGGCGAATTAGTAATCCGCCCGGGCGGAATAGTAATCCGCCTGGGCGAAATGCTAATCCGCCCCGGCGAAATATTAATCCGCCCGGACGAAATAGTTATCCGCCCGGGCGAAATAGTAATCCGCCCGGGCGAAATAGAAATCTGCCCGGGCGAAATAGTAATCTGCCCGGGCGAAGTAATGGGCCTAAAAAAAATGTTTTCGGTCATGTCCTAAATACGCTTCCGAATGTAACAGCTGGGGACGCGGAACAAAATTCAAAGCTATCGCGGAAAAAGTTGAGGGGGGGGGGGGCGGATTCCGCCCCGGGCCCTTTTAAGGTTAAAGGCTTTTGTCTAACGTTTCAAAGCGTTTTTCTCCGAATTTTCTTGTTGTAACATTCTTGTAACTTTGTGAAAACGAAAATCGTTCGCGCCAGTGTCCAAACTCAAGGGCGGATCTGCATGAGGAAAGTCGTAGAAAACGTCGATAGGAAGCAAAAGTTACGGAAGTGTATTTAGGACATGACCCCCAAAAAATTTTCTGCCCTCTATTTCGCCCGGGCGGATTACTATTTCGCCTATTTCGCCCGGGCGGATAAGTATTTCGCCCGGGCGGATTACTATTTCGCCTGGGCGGATTTCTATTTTGCTCGGGCGGATTTCTTTTTCGCCCGGACGGATTAGTATTTCGCCCGGGCGGATTACTATTTACCCTTTATGGCGGATTACATATTGAGCAGTTTTTGAGCTCAAAGCAACTCAAATTAACCCAATTTTGGAATTAATATGAATCTGCTGGTATTTTAGGAACATTTTGGACCGCTTAAATTTTAAAATACTTTTGTTGGGTAATCGGTCTGTTAATCTCACTTTTTTGAAGTTGGGGGGATGATTGGACAATAGTATTATTCTCTGCAACTTTTCTTTAAAACGGTTCATAAACTTGAAACCGGGACTGAGCATCCCGACAAAGAGTAGTACATATTACCGTGACGTCATTGTGACGTCATCAGGTATTACAATCATAGATTTTTACGTGATTTTCGTTCATTTATAAATCATATTCTAAACGGAAAAAAATCATGTTAAAGCTGGTGTATACGTGCTTTTTCCAAAAAGAAATTTATAGGAATATAATGCCCTTTTAACCAATAAATGTGCTTGTTTGCTTTTTCAGGTGTTTATACCAATTTTAAAAGTGTTTTTAAATGGTGCGCTCTAATTCAGAAATTGTGCACACTCTTCAGAACGAAATAGGAGCGTCCCACTCTTAATTCCAAAGTTCAATGTAATTAATTGTTTACTTGTCGTGGGCCGAGTTTTGATGTCGTGCGATGTCTCATTGGAAAGTTAATAACTAATGTAATGCTAGACAATTATCAATTCAATTTGAATATAATAACATTTTACAAGGTGCCACAACCAAGAAGTACCAACTTTAATGCTCTCTTATCTGATCGACTTTTGAAGGTGATATGGGTTGTTAATGTTACGGTTTAGGGATTAAATTTTGGACAAAAATTCTCTGCCACCTTTCTTCAAAACGTTCATAGCAATATGAACTTGAAACTTATCCTGACGTCCGATAACTCAGTTACTTCACTTTGACGTCATCAGGTACTACATACAAGCCATTACACACAAAGAACATGATTTTGATCATTATAACTTTTAAACAACATGAAAATCTGTTCATTTTTTGTTGACATTGATAATCCGGATGGTTAACCGGAAGGTCAAACTTAGGTTAATTAAAAAATGCAGACAGACCCCTTATATTAAAATCTCATAACCATGACTCGAAACATATCCTTATCGGACAGTGGACATGGACAAAGTGATACTTTTATCAGAAAGGAGAGGTCAAGCGACTTTGCCTTGTTGAGAATGTGATATATTTATTAATGTCTATAGCCTTTCAGATAAAGCATCATGATTTTTCATTAAAATCGTAACTTATTAATGAACGAAAGTCACGCTTATAAAGAACATCAGTCGGCAATACCTGATAATCATCCAAATAATCCCCCAACTTGAAAAAGTGAGATTATCAGCCCAATTACTAAAGAAAAGTTTAAAAAATATTAAGCGCCCAAAAATGTTCCTAACATACCAGCAAATTCATATTAATTGCAAATTGGGTTAATTTGAGCTGTTTAAAGCTGAAAAACAGCTCAAACGTAATCCGCCCGGGCGAAATAGTAATCCGCCCGGGCGAAATAGTAATCTGCCCGGCGAAATAGTAATCTGCCCGGTCGAAATGGGCCTCAATTTTTTTTTTGGCCATGTCCTAAATACGCTTCCGTAAAAAGTGGACTTACGTTTTGAAGTCTTTTCTTTTTTCGGACGATATTTTCAGGTCGAAATCTGCTCCATAAACAAGGAATAAATCGTTCTTCGGTTCGTGAAGAAATCGAAATCAGTATTTTTATTCCTCCATGGTGGTAGGCCTACACAGATACTACCGCGGTGACCACGCAAGTGTGTTGACGATATAAGTCGTTTGTCGACCCCGGGTCAACCAAGGGATGTGATGTAGAAATGTGATGAAGTGGCCCTATTTTGGGCCTGTATCTCCAAATGAAAATTCCTGACAAACGACTCATGTAATGATCGCATCACATAGTGCAGACCAGTAAATAGGCCCCAAATTGCCTACGCCCTTCAAAATCTTTAGCATTTGAGAGTATTGTGGGCCATGAACTTCAGGGTTTGTAAAAAATATGGGTGGAAGCCGTGCACAGAACTGGGAGCTTGCGCTCTATTTTGGTAGCGCCAGTATCACAACTCCAGCAGTACACTTATGATAAATTATGCTTACGTCACCACAAGTCAGGCACGTCACGTCACAGGACTTAAAATTACAGTATCGATGGCGATCAGTGGCGGAGCTCCGGAGAGCGGGAGGTTTCGCATCGAATGATCGGTCAACTTTCGGAATGTAACTCATGTTTGAGCAGAGCCAGCTGTGACATGTCGTTCTTCCCATTCCAAAGTAACTAGTGCAAACAATTACAATAGCATTCGTAGAATGACTTGTACTTGGGCTAACTGATCTTAGCGTGCCTATTATTTGTGTACAAAACGAAAACGGATTGTGCTCTCGGCGGATACAGTGTCGGCATTTTAGTCGATTGCAACGTGCGCTTAAAAAAAATAATACGAATAGATAAGGGGAGCCTTCGTTTTTGAAATGACCAATGTTAGATTAACCGGCTTGGGCAGATGATTCGGGTCCATGCATATTCTTCCATGATTTACATTTAGCATTCAAAAAGTAGGTATGACTACTTTATCGTGAACGCTTGCATTAATTGTTATTTAGTTTGTTTATTTTTACTCTTTTCCTTTTGACACAAGCATAGAGAAAGGACATACCATATTTACATAAACCTTGTTAATATTCTAAAAAAAAAAAAAAACTTTTGAATAAAGAATTTATTTTGAATTAATGGATTTGAATCTGTATCAAAATCTTATTTCTGTCGTTGAAAAAAATCTCCGCGGTTTTCAATTACTTCCGTGTGCATCCGTGGACTGCGTAACGCCATAACCACAGAAATCCTTGGAGATGCTAATTATGATTTATCCTTTACCCTAGTGTATGGGATGGTTGACCTAGCATGTCTCAAGATATTTTTCGCAGGGAATAATAGATTAACTGTGAAGCTGACACTTTCCCTGCATGTAAAAAAAGGTGTGTGTAATGATTTTTGTGCCAAAGAGGGTTGGTGGTTTTACCAAGAAAATTACCATACTTTTTTTTAATCGAGGAAAAGCATATGGGCCCACCATGCAAGCTTAAACGGTGCCTTAGGAGAAGCGCATATGGTTGCCGCAAACAACATGGAGAATCGCCCAAATTTTGATGTTTGCATTAGGCCCAATTTTGGGTATGTATACAACCTCTAAGCGGCATTAGATCACAAGCAACACCATGAGCTAACGAGTGGATCAAGTTTGATCGTTGTTCCTAATTTTTTTAGTACATGTATATTATTTTGTCTTACAAAATTTCAAATTGTGTTTTGTGCTTTAACGGAAAAAATATTGGGCCTGTTTTGGTGTTGCTTTTGCCAGTGCCTCCTTCTTTTTTTTACTTACCAACATCACCGAACAATTTTCGATTTGATTTAATTAATTCGAAACAATGATGATAAAGATAACCGCGTTTAACTTGCTCTGTGTTTTAACCATTGATCTCCATTTTACATTGATCTCCATTAGTAAGACTTAAATCAATGGTTTTAACCCGTGCAGCTCTAAAACAAGTAGATACAGTATATTGGAGGAGGAGGGGGTATCGAAGGTCGCGTGTACGGCAATTGTGGGCCGAGTCGTAACATTGTACGTGTTACACCCGGTACAATTACGTACGGAACCCTTGACATGGGTGACCGTGCTGATGGTATGGGTGGGCCTGCTAAAGAAGGACATGCACACGACGATCACGCGCGGACCGACGATGTACATAATTCATAAGTTTGATGACGATGTACCGTTCACGGCATAAATTATGATAAGTGCTACTGTTGGAGTTGTGATACTGGCGCTACCCTCTATTTTGCAAGGAGTCGACTGTAGGGCGTTTTTCAAAATGGCGATGGGCTTCAGGACTATTTGAAGGGGTGATCATCTTCGGATGGAAATTCCTCCTAAAAAGTCATCAGTTAACCCTCCAAAATTTGCAAAGAAAATGAAAGATGATGAAATAAGCTTTAATTTGAGTGTGTCTCGAACACCTTGGAGAGTTGTGAGTATTTTTCCTGCATTTCTGAAGTGGGGGCATTTATCATTGGGGTCTATGGCAGTTTACTTTGGGGTCTGCAACCATAATTCATACGGCCATGCAGTGCGTAGGGGTCACGTTGGCATTCTGGAAATGACGATTCCATTGTATTGAAGGGTAAGTCTTAGACAAAAAAAGAAGAATGTTCACCATTTACTCGTAAGAAATAATACCTTTCCTCGACAATAGATTTCATTCCAGCTTTCTTTTCCCTCACATCCTGTATTACTTTAAGCCATTTATTTTTGTTTTCACTTTTCAGTGCCGCCCGTGGCCCGCCCCGTTTTTCTTTTTTTTTTGGGGGGGGGGGAAGAGGTGGTTTTCACGTCTCCACAGAAGAGTGTTTTGGAAAAAAAACTTGCGGACATTCAACATGCAGCCCTCACGACAATGTGCTTAACAAATAAATTCGCCACGGAAACACACCCCTTCCGAACTTTCGCCCGTTAAAAAATTGACGTTACATATCTAACCATATCACTCAGCATTTAAAAGTATGACCATATACTCTTCAAGATGATCATATTTTCAATGTATAATATGTTCGGGATAATAGGGCCTTTTTGAGTTGAAAAACGCAAATAAACACCAACAAACTTGATTTCCTATGGAGCTCGAGGTCAACACGTTTTCTGGCCGTTTTTTTTTGGGGGGGGGGGGGTGTTTCAGTTACTCAATCGTATGAAATGCTCTTTCCAACAATATAAGAATTATTTTGATTGGAGGAGGGGGGATTTTTCCAAGCCAATCACGGCACTCCTCTCTTTCCAGAGAACATTAATTTTGTGGTAACTTGCACGAAATGGGATTTAAAATAAAGTCCTTCAATTTATTATTGTTTATAACAGGGGTAAACCCATTAGGGCTATGCGCAGGGGGTTTTTTTTCGTTTCAGTACGTCTCTAACCCAATGCATTAATTGTACTGGAAAAGCAGTGAGTGTCAAAATACTTTATAAAGAAAACATTATTTTGTAATATACATGCGCCGTTTTGCGCCACGATTTGTTGTAATCCCTCTGATTCTGAGTTATGGACGCGTCCGTTGACCCTTGGTGTTATTAGGCGGCACGGACTTCATAACGCATCAAGTCAAGCTGCACTCTGTACATGTACATGTACTTTGATAAAAGACCACCTGCTGACCTATGCTGTAGGGTCACGTGTACAAAGCTTGTATAAAGTAAACACCACCAATCGAACGTTTCCATGTGAACGTGCTCCGTTGCTGACTTGTTGGTCCACAAGAATTGTGTTTCTCGACAGATGATGTAAAAGAAATCTTACAAAGCTTCCATCTTTAACTAATCTTAACATTTTCAACACTGTTTATTTTATTTGTCAAATACTTTGGAAGGGGTTACTGTAAATTCTCAGTAGTGGTTTTTCAAACCCTTTTTTTTAATCCAGAAAGACTTTAAGACAATACTTACAAAACCAGGCTGCTTGGCACCCAAAACACACTACTTTACAACAGCAAAAAAAACAGAATCCAAACCGGAATACAAGCACTATAATGCTGAAATGTGTATAAACTTTTCAAAAAGCCTCTCAAAAAACCTGAAGCGAAAGCAAAAATGTCAAGCAATTTTTTTTGACAAAGAACTCCATGGTAAATTTTCCCTTGACTAAATGGCTATGAACCTCTTATATCACGTAAAATACATACATTCTGGTGTCACAGGAATTGCATTTCAACCCAACTTTTATTTCTGTAGTTAAATGAAGATAAAATTATGCTATAACGACATATCATGTATTATGTACACAGAGTGAATACATCAGTGGCTACTCAGAGTAGCGGAGCTAGTACAGGAACAGGTGCAACTTTTATTCAAATTTTGTAAAGAATCTTCTCATCACTCAACGCTGGTCGAGTTTAGTCTCAATCCAAAGTAAAGAAAATGTACAGAAGTGTACTCTTCAGTAAATGTGACTCGGAGATTAAAATAAGTAATAGGTTAAACCCATTTTATTTCCAGATAATAACTTTTTGGAATAAGTCTTTACATAAAGAAAAGTCTTAATTATACTCATAGGTACAATAGAGTACATAAAATGCAAAGTCCACAACCATATTTTTTTTGGTAGTACCTCCATCAGTGTAAATATGTGTGTTTCATATTACACAAGTAACAGTCATAATGCGTGTGCGGTAGACTATTTATAAACCGAATGCCAACTTCATTAAAGTTATGATCAACTTGTGACGTTATCAATTGAGATTTTACTATTCTTTGCATGTGCTCTTTTTACATGTTGGTCCAGAGGAATTGTTTTGTTTCTCGACAGATGATGTAAAAGAAATCTTTAAAAGCTGCTATCTTTAACTAATCATAACATATTTAACACTGTATATTTTTTCTTTTTCAAATACTTTGGAAAGAAAATTATACTGTAATAGTGGTTTTTCAAACCCTTTTTTAATTCAGAAAGACTTTAAGACAATACTTGCAAAACCAGGCTGCTTGGCACCAAAAACACACTACTTTTAAACAGCAAAAACCAGAATCCAAACCAGAACACAAACACTGTAATGCTGAAATGTGTATAAGTCTTCAAAAAGCCACTCCAAACTTGAAGCAAAAGCAAAAATCTCAAGCAATTTTTTTTTTATAAAGAACTCCATGATAAATTCTCCCTCGACTATTAGTATAAACGGACTGTGAGGCTCTTATCACTTAAAACAAATACATGTAACAGCAAACGGCAATGCAGACAGGTAATTCCGGTGTCACAGACATTACATTTCAACCCAACTTTTATTTCTGTAATTAAATGACGGATACAGGCATGCAACTGGGAATTTAAAAAAAAATGAGAAAATTCCAAAAAAAAATTAAATTTGTAATGGCATTCGTGAGAAGTAAAAACGAGGAAAACAAACAAGGAAAACAGCGGATCCAAGGAAAAGTTGCATGCCTCAGGATAAAAGGCAATAACGATATATCATTTCTTATGTACACTATTACTGATTCAAGCCCAAGACTTGAAACTGTTTCACAAACAGACTGATGCCTAGATCACTGATTTTAGCATCAGTAATGTCTTGATGGTACAAACAGTCTCCAACTCGTGCTTATAGAAACACAGCCTATCTGTGACACTAGAATGACCACATCAGGCAAAATAAAAAGATGGATGAAAACAATGAACAAATACAGCAAACGGTTAAATACTGAAAACAGATGTTATAATGCTTCATTATTAATAAGAAAGGTGGACATAAAAGTATGCTAAAATATTTCAGACAAGTCCAATCTTTAATTGACCATGATAGAAACATAATGTAACTATTCATAAGATTCAATTGGCTGGTACGAATCTGGTGTAGCAGCGAGTTTGAACGAGCCAACCGATCCCACAAGCATGGTAGTCAAGTAGAAAGCAGAAGGTCGTGGGTTCGAGTCCCACCCCTGTGATTTTTTTTCCAACTTTCACACGGGAGGTATCACACTTGAGTATACAGTGTTAATGTGTCGGTGAAGGGCAAAACCTAACATTGAGAAACATTATCTAAGCTGTTATGGGCACCACCACTCATTTTTTTGTGTCCTGAAATCATAAGTCCCATCTTAGCTTCTGAGGCTCAAGTGAGAAGTGTTACATTTTCAGTTATCTTTATTTTTACCACAAATTGCTTGTAATATCCCTCAAATGGATTAAAGTTTATAGAAACTCATTAACCCTAACTCCCCAGCCTAATTTACTAGGAACCATACCCATTCTGGCAAATTCCAACACCCACATGGGAAATTGTACACTGTTGGACTTAGTTTCTGGAGGTATGCCAACCACAGTGTAAAAGACCATCAGTTTAGGGGTACTGTACCTATCCCAACAGATTTAAACAAAACCTGCTGTTGAACTTTGATGGGTTGAGTTCGGTTAGGGTTAATGTACTGAATATATGCGCCTGAACATTCTCTTTGGTTTCTCTGTGTGCAAAAATAGATTTCTATTGAATATTAAAGACACGTTAATTATAAATTCTGTCTTGAAACAATATAGGTTTCCTTGATAGACTTTGTTTAATAGTTGAGAAACTAAATAATGATGAGAATCAGACACAAGGTCTTTTCGTTATGCGTATAGTACTTCGGTTGCTATCTGTTGCATAAAGTACTTTGGTTGCTATGCGAATAGTACTTTAGTTGCTATGCGTAAAGTACTTTTGGTCGGGCACACCCAGATAGCAATAATAGGGAATGCCATGTAACTAGGCTCATTTCGGCTTATCAAGACACAGAATTGTGGGTTTGGCTTTACATACACACATACACAAGGTGATGTACCTGAGGTACCCAAAGTGCATGAGTTAATGCACTCCTTCATCAGACATGCAACTGGGAATTTAGATGAAAAAAAACCAGGGAAATTCCAAACTACAAAAGGCTTTGTACAGTGTTGTTTATGAGAAGTAAAAATTGACGAACTCAGCTATTTTCTTGACGCAAAGTAAAGATGCCACACATGCTGTACTTTTTAGGGGTTATCCTATTACACACGTGCAGGCGGCATGCAAACTCGCTATCTTAGAATAGTGCAATGCATAAAGAGCTATACGACTGTGGTATACAGAATAATACCACACCATTTTTGCCATGAATTGACCAATCAGGATCGAGGATTCAAAGTTTGCTTGAATCCTCGATCCTGATTGGTCAATCCATTGCATCAAAATCCGGCAGTATGTCAAGTAAACTATTGTCAACCAATAAAATGTTCAATCCAACAGCATGGTTTAACATAGGTTGGCCCATTTATGGATTCTTATGGTGCAACAAGACAGTCAAACCTTTCACAATAATAAAAAAAAGAAAAAGAGATATTTCCAGTTTTTTTCCCCGCAATTACCACATTAATTTTCTGCAGCACATGTTTAAGCATACCCAACACCATCAGCGACCTTTGACCTAGGGATGAAGTCTTGTCAGAGACCCTCCAGTAGAATCACACCATCACAGATTCTTTGGCTGTTACCTGGAACAAAACGGAGGAAAATGCTGAGCACAGATATTTGCTAAACACAGGAAAGTGGTAAGCGTAGAAAATATAAATTGAAACATGTGACCAGCCAAATATCATGTGGTGTTCATTTGTCAGCTGTGCCTCACTCTCAAGTGATGTTTGCTTAAAGGTAGAGTAGATCATTTGCAGCTATTTGAAATTATTCTTTTCTGCACACGTATGGTATGTCGCTTGACCAGTGTTATAGGACTCCAGTCCAGGACTCGGACTCGAGTCACATTTTTTTCGTGACTCCGACTTGACTCGACCATGATAACTCTGACTCGAGCTGGGTGACTCGCGATTCAAGTCACGCATTTTCATCAAAAGAAAAAACATAACATAGGATGGGAAAGGATTATTGAGGAATAATGTTTGGATGATAAAACCATGGAGGGAAGGGATAGAGGAGGGTTGTTTAGGGATGGGAATTAAAAGGAAAACACATTTTGGGTCTAAACAACATGCACACACACAAGGTAAACTATATACACTGGGATTTACTTAAAATACTGAATGGATGATTGAAAATAACTTTGATTGGTTTGGTGAACAACTAAGAACAAGTGACTCGTGACTCGGACTCGAGGTTTGTGACTCGGGATTTGGACTTGGACTCGACTTTGGTGACTCGACTACAACAATGCGCCTGACTAATTGTTTTCGGAACAGCTCTTTTGTTTCCACCAATGCGCACGTGCTGTTATTTTGCATATTGAGTCCACCGGTGCAATGTGTAATTCCCAAGACGTTCTTTGCGTGTGATTGGTTGACCGAGTCAGGTTCGTGAACGGGAACTGCGTGGTGCACGGTACAAAGGTTGTACCGTCTACCGTGAACTACCCCACTGAGAACATCTTGCGTCAAGACTAATTTATTCCATGAACGTGGGCCCTGCAAACTGTAAACTCCAAAACTTACCACTCTTTCTTCCAGCACAGGCTTCCAGTCATACTTTGCCAACCTCGGGATGGCGTCCTGCAAGATCTTCTTGCCTTTCTCGGCATTCTGTTTGAAGGTTGTCATCACTACCTCGACACTCACCTTAAAGAAAGGAAAGGAAGAAAGAAAAAAAACATGGTTCATACCATAAATGGTTGATGTATTAGCAAAATCCAACAGTTGGCAGTATCAGTAGTAATTTGTTGACCTCTTAGGTAAAACAAATGATCTTTTCTGTTGAATCTGTTGGTTTCTGCAGGCTGCATATTTCGGTTCTACTGGATTCAGTAACAAGAAGCAAACCGCCAGAAAACCCAATAGTAAGTACATGTACCTATAGTACATTTAGCAAGTAAAGAATGTCACAAGCCAATGTAGCCCATCATGCCAGCATTTATCTCTAGTTTCCTTTGAATGAAACAACTGAGACTACGTCTATTCCCCCTGGATGGGATGCTCGTCCATCGCAGGTTACTCCCCAGCAAAGACGCTTCAGACTTGTGCACATTCAGAATAAAAATAGCCATGCTGTGGTGAATTTCTCCCTTTTTGACTTTAATGTTCCAAAGTATGTGATATGTTACAAATAAAAGAGTCTTGCATGCAGAAGACGCGCTAATTGCTTCTTTACTTCTCATGAAATATTTTATGGGCTATTACGTAGCAAGAGGGTAAAAACGTGAAGCGCTACCCGCACATGCACAGACACTCCACTCTACTCCAAGTGAAGACAACTACAGCAATCTCAGCAATTTTTTGACAAACTAATTTTGTCAGTTTATTTAGTCTTCGACCCTATGGGCTCTGATACTGGCTAGGTGGAGTTTGTCCCTGCCCTCACAGTGCAGGGGTCCTTATAGTCGTTACACTTAAAAACTTGGCAGTTGCTAGCAAATGTTTTCTACAAATTTGTCAAGACTCGCAGTACCAGGCGACTGTTTATTTACCTATCTAGCTTCAGCAGTAGCAGGCCAACCGTTTCATTCAAACCTTGGTAGTTGCTCGATAATAGTATTTTAAATCATAACTACACCACAAAAATGCCAACTTCGCGACATTAGGGGTGACGAAGTGCCATCATAGGTTCACGCACGGCGTCGATACTCACATGTTCGTTGCCTTCGTCCCTCCAGGAGTCGTAGTCTGTGGGCAAGGCGACGGCACCGTAACACAACCCCATCTCGGCGGCAAGAACAACCTCCGGCACCGTGGTCATGTTGATGACGTCACCGCCCCAGGACTTGAAGAGTTTGCTCTCGGCGCGGGAGGAGAATCGCGGCCCCTCGATGGTGACCATGGTGCCTGTCGGGTGGTATTTGTAACCCAAGTGCTTGACTGATTCGATTAGCACCTTCCAAAAAGAGATGGAGAACAATAAGCCGTCTGGGAAAACTCTCTTCACCAGGGGGTTTGGGTGAGAGGTAGGGGAGGGGGTTGGGGGTTCGGGGTTTGAAGTTTCAGCTCAGTGGATATTGTACATTTTGAGAAAACAGAGAAAACTATGCATGAATCTTTTGGTCTCAATGGCAGTTGCAAACACATGTTAAAGACTGCCCACCGGCACATTTTCTTAAACCACCTCCAATTAAGGTGTTTTTTCCCCAGAATACCATTTCAATAATTTCACTGGGCATTTGGCACCAGTCCCAACTTTGCTTTGAGCAAGGATTTTCTTGTTTAATTGGTAGATACGTTTCTGCTATTGCAAATATTCCTACGTGCCTTTAACAGACAAAAAGCACACGTGAAACAGCAAAATGAAAGTGTCGCGCAACCTGCCCTCATTGTTTGGCAGCATAGCGCCCCCTCCAGTTCACACACACACACACAGATAAAGACCATACCTGCCGCGTCTTTTCGCAGAAGGGAGTGTGCATGGGGATATGGCAGATTCCCTTTGGGCTCGTGGCGGCGTTGTCGTAGAAGGACTGTTCCCGTTTGGTGGTACGGTCGATAAACTGATCCAGGATGACTATCTGACCAGGGTGGATGTCTTCCTACAGTATGAAATAAGGCCAAACATTATTAACAAGAAAAACAAGTTGGGAGACTGGCTGACTTTGGCAAATTTTGGCTGGATAACTCAGTTGGTAGTGTCTGTGTGGTGTTCCGGCGATGTCTGCTCAAATAAATATCTTTGGTTGACTTCATATTGATCAATAAAAGAATGCAAATTTAGCAAGGAAAAAAATAGCTAAGGCATTTCAAATTTGCACAATACAAAATTGACACAATTTCTGTGCAAACATTGACATTTCCATCCGTAACAATTAGGTTTGAAAGTAGTGTTCATGTTAATTTCCTGACGATTTTTTTTAAAATAAATCTCTGCATTTTCCATTTTCAGTTGACAAGAAGAACATCATTCAAATGGTGAAGGCTGGGGTGGGGTGGGCCTTGGGTGGGTTGGGGTGGGGCTGGAGCTGGGGTAGGGATTGGGCTGGGCTGGGCTGGGTGTAGGGCTGGAGGTGGAGGTTGAGGTGGGAATGAGTTTTGAGAGTGGGTGGGGCTGGGCTGGGGTGGGACTGTGGGTGGAGTTGGGGCATGGGGAGGAGGGTAAAGCTGAAGGGTGGGTGTTGGGGCTTGGGTATGGGTGTTACACTTGAGACTCTGGGTTTGGGTTGGGGTGTGGGGAGGGGTATAGCTGCTGGATGGGTGTTAGACTTGAGACTCTGGGTGGGGTTGGGGTGTGGGGAGGGGTAAGGCTGCAGGATGGGTGTTAGACTTGAGACTCTAGACGGGTTGGGGCTTGGGTAGGGGTAGAGCTGCTGGATGGGTGTTAGACTTGAGACTCTGGGTGGAGTTGGGGCGTGAGGAGTTGGTAAGGCTGGGTGTCAGACTTAGATTAGAGGTGGGGTGGAGGTGGGGATGGTAGGGTCTAGGGGTGGTAGGGTACATGGGTGGTAGGGTCTAGGGGTGATAGGTTGTAGGGGTGGTAGGGTCTAGGGGTGGTAGGGTATAGAAGTGGTAAGGTACAGGGGTGGTAGGGTCTAGGGGTGATAGGTTCTAGGGGTGATAGGTTCTAGGGGTGGTAGGGTCTAGGGATGGTAGGGTATAGGAGTGGTAGGGTACAGGGTTAGATAGGTTCTAGGGGTGGTAGGGTCTAGGGGTGGTAGGGTCTAGGGTGAGGTGGGGTGAGGATTGGCTGGAGTGAGGGGTCTCAAGAATTACCTGCAGGGAACCACAAGCTGTAGTGACTACCAGATGGGTACAACCTTCCTCCTTCAAGGCAGCAACGTTTGCTCTGTAATTAACGTCTGTTGGACGAATTGTGTGGCCTCTTCCATGTCTAGACAGAAGCAAAGAATTCCATGACAAAATAAATATCATACTAGAATTGTGCTGGAACTATTTTCATCTCAAGGCAAACCAAAACCAGTCATATATACTCATGTATCATCATACTTTTGTCAATAAATTCTTTGTCTAGCTTTAAATCCCTCACAAAAACAGACTCGTTAACGGTTAACTTTTTTCAACACAAGTGAACCTAAAGTTTGCATTGAAATTTCAAAAGTAGGGACACTATTTCTAAGCTCATATTTTTACCTTGCCAGCAAAACGCAATCCACTCCACCAATCGTCCCTGTGATCAGTACATCCGAAGGCTGTAAGAAAACAAATGTTGCCTTGAATTAATGCTTAAGATAACAGCTTTTTAGTTGAACCTGTTTGTGAACTAATTGAGGCCAAAAAAAATACTTCTGCTTCCGATTACATGGCATTTGAAAATAGGGTAGGTAGGTAAGTAATTTTTTTTTTGGCCAATTTTTTGTGCATACAATCAGATGGAGGGGTCTGTGTGTAGTCAAGGATAAAAGGTAGAAATTGATGGTTTTGGGTGTTTTTTCCTAATTTTTCCCATAAATTAATTAGGGTAGGGGCTGTCAGAATAGGGTAGGTAGGGAAACCGGAAGCAGAACTATTTTTTTTTCTTTGGCCTTATTCCTCTCTACACAAACTAATTATTCCATAACTAGAGTGAGATATTACTATCAAAACTGGGCCCTGGCCTTTTGCCAAAAAAAATTATGAGATAAAATCTGTATGATTCAAACAGTCTATGCGAAGTCATGGAAAGTATTTTTTAATAAAATGTAAATTATTTCTATGTCCCAAATTCATCTTTGTGAACATACCTGCGTTATCTGACTATCACTGAAGATGTATGTAAATGGTGAGAAAAAAATTACATCAGAATACTGAATCTTTCCCAAAAATACTCTAGCGCTCTAAAATGCTAACGTGCAGCATGTCTGTTTGACTTTTTTCTAATCTTTAAATTCGTATTTTGCAAAATATTTTGTAAAATTTGTGATTATCTTTTTTGAAAAATCTAAAAAGGGTGACGGCTCCTTTGGACACAATTTTGTATCAGTAAAAGAGTCAAGAAAATGAAAGAATCCATCTGCTATATCTTGGAAAATCCACCATATTTTGGGGGAAAAATGGAAGCCACCTCCTTCACTTTTTCCCCTGAAAAAACCTAGAAGAGAAACTGGTTTTTATATACTCGGCCTTGTCTCCAGTCATGTTACTGTTTAGGAGTCCGCCATCATCATCTTCCTATACTGTGCAGAAACCTCCGCTGGAGTATACTCGCACATTGGTTGAAATGCAAACAAGCAGGTGCAGACATAACTCGAGGCATGATAAAAAGACAAATATGTGCAAGTAAACAGCTATTTTAAACCAGGTTGGTTGCCATACAAGTCCTTATAAACAAACCTTTCCATACGGTGTTACAACGGTCTTCTCCTTTCGATCTTGGACTATATCAGGATTATCCAATCCAGTCCCGCCAATGATTCCAACCTGGGAATAAAACATCTCATCACTTCAGAACTCTTGAAAATAAAAAACACTGTTAGACATGTCAGTCACATGTAATTCCTAGAAACTCGTGAACTTTCATTCAGTCTGATTCACACCTTTTAAATAAGGGGGAACAATAACGGGAAAGATTTCCATATACGAAGTTCACTCAACACCCTGTGTACAAACCCTATGAGATTGGACTGAAAAATTCAAAGTGTTTTCTAAGAAAATGCTTGTATTTTCTCACTACTCAAATTGACTTTGATGACATGAAATTGCTATTTGGGGGTTTGTTAGTCAATACAGAGTAAAATTAGTGAACTTCGTATATGGAAATCTTTCCCAATAACGTGAGCATAGAGCCAGCCTACTGCAAAATGGCAACAAGGCTATCACTAATGAGTAGTCGTTATTGTTTAGGGATGGTTTTGCCCCATAAATGCAGCTCAAATACTGGACTTCTTCTATATTGGGAGCCACACATCGATGATTGCAGCATTTATGTGGAATAGTTCTTTTGACGAAGCCAAAGCCGGATCTGTTTTTTTGTTCACTTGAGTATGGAAGATGCTAAGTCTTAATTACATGCTTAACAACTACTTCTAGAATTAGAAGGCTTCTCTTGGTGCCTTCTAATTCTAAAAGTAGTTAACAACCACCGTAGATTTCTATATATCCTGTAATATGCAGACAAAATGTGCAGGGAGTTCGTCCAAAAATTAACTGCAGTATTTTTTGTGTCATGCGTCACGTAGCGTTGAAATTTGGATTTTCGCTGGTTTTGTATCTTCCATGCATATTGAATATGATTAAGTGACAATTGCAGACCCAATTTCGATTTCCTCAAAAAACTTTTCCACGAAATAATAATATGTTGGTATCACCGCGGTGTGTGGTACCCAATACAGAGAAAGTCCAGTATGCATGGTATTTTGCCACATAGGGCTAGTGATTTGTAGGGGCCGCCTATTGTTCTACTCTATTTCATTGAATTGAAATAGGGGTAATCCTTACTTTTAGGACCCCGTTCCTAATCCTATATAAGGTTAGAAGACTCACCAAAACAGAGCTGACTAAATGACACTCAAAAGTGACATTCTGATATTTATTGTCATATATCTGAACAGTATGACATCTTCATTTTATGTCAGCAGGTTTAATTTTGTAGAAAAAGGCTGACGGGGCTTTGATTTTAGAGGGAAATTGAGAAAGACGACGATGACAAACAGAAACTGACTCAAAAACCATGATGGCAAACTGCAAAAAAGGGTAGGAAAGTCACATTTTCTTAATGAAAGTGCTTTCAAAGTTACAACTAACATGAATTTATCTGAAGAAAAAAAGACTGCTTTAGCCTGCAAAAGCCACTTTGGTACTGGACAGTCATCTGCAAAAGCCAGTTTTGAACAGAACTCGTAAAAAAATAGAAGTGTCCTAAAGATAAGGATTACCGAAATAGGCCTAGACTAGCTGGAGTTACCCAGCCCTGAGTTTTATCATTGGGTTGTCCTAGATGACAACCCAATGATAAAACTCAGGGCTGGGTAACTCCAGCTAGGCCTAGACCATGTTGATTTTTGTACTAAATTTCGGGACACAACTTGTTGTTGATTTTCGAATGAAATATAAGATCAAAGGAACATCTCAAGCATTCCATGCATTCATTCACTGAATATAGATCTACACTCTTTGATTTCCATCGTTCCAAATTACGGGGCCTATCAATATTCAAACCAAAAAAGTCACATTCCGGTAGTCCACTCCAACATGTCCATGGACTACTTCTACAATTAGAAGGCTTCTCTCCGTCAGCTGACGGAGAGAAGCCTTCTATTTATTCTAATTCTAGAAGTATCAATCACACTGCACTGAAATGCCTTTCCAGCATGTTCACCATGCATGATTGATGATGTGGAGCTGTCAGCGCGCAGCCTGTAGAGTCTAGAGAGCACTGTGTTACTAAAAAAAACTCCCCCATTTTACGTCTTAGAGGCTATGACAACGGAGTCTATCTTCATGAGGCGGCGTATTGCTCCACTTCCATACCTTTATTTTAGACATGTTTGCTTGACATGAAATTCCCTCAGAAAATTTTGGAGAAGTTCTGCGCTACGTACATGCAGCACTGATCGGAAAAATTGGAAACTAGACTGGTTCCCCCTCCCGATCCCAAGCCCATTATCTAAAGGATAATTGGGTCAGGCTACCAGACTAATCGGAAACACCCTCCGTGAAAGCCTGGTTCCTACGTGCACCCCGACCACATTAAGAACAAAATGAACGAGGAACAAGACTCGCACGTAGTACTACGGGTCGTTGTAGTCTTGATTTCAAGTCGGTAATTTTTATAGGCTTATGACAGAAAATGGATCACCAAACTCAAGCATGGAGGAATTAGACAAGAATTTTAGAACAGAATTTTTAAAGCGGAATCAAATTTTCATAACATCAACTATATTTTACTTTCATTAGACTTTCGCCAATACCCTCCATTAAAATGTCGCCTCCGGTCACTGCAGCTGGGCGTGAGATCGAGGAAATTGGGGTCCCCCACGCCACCTCTCTCCATCCCCTCCCCTCCCTCGCCTCCGTGTCAGCATTCGGAGAAGACTAGGATGAGCTTTTCTTTCATGTTTAAAACCCATCCCACTAAATATGGGGTTGCCAAGTCAGTGCCTCCCACCCACGGCCACACCTTACGTTACGGCAAACCTAGTGTCACCAAAAATGTTGTCTCAGCAGTGGAACGTGAGCCTAATTTAATAGAACATAGTTGTCCAGAGATTGACCCTCCTTTATTTACAAATTAGTCAATAAAATCGTTGCCATCGATACAGTACAGATTCACACTACGCCAACACTAATATTTCCACAAGAAAAAGGCAGCTACATTCATGAAACCATTATGCACATAACGATTACTTCAAATTCTCACTATTCCCAAGAACTTTTGCGGATGGAATAATTAAATTACCACCAGAAACCCGTCATGCATCAAGCATGGAATATCAGTCGATCGAAATTTTCCGCCACACTTTTAATACAGGGTGAGTAAAGTGAGAAGCGGAACTCAAACCCCAAAAAATATATTTCATATTTAAAAAAAAAAGTAGCACCAAAAATAATAATGACTGGAAAGCCAATTTCAGCAACTACTTTTAGATGAAAGGAATACTGAAATTGCTCAATCCGTTCAAAGAATATCACCATTTAAACGCAATGGCCCTTAAACCTGTTTCGTAAAAAAAAAAAAAAACATTTTATTGCGCGTTCTAACTTGACCAACACAGAAAATGACACAGAATACTTGTTTCAATAACTGTTAACAACTGTAGTATACAATATCTTTATCAACAACCCTGCTTGGGCAAACAATATGATTTATAAAATCCACTTTAAAAAAAAGACGGGCCTTCGAAAGGACTTTGTTGAATATTTTAAACTTTTAAACTGAGGTTTTATGGCTGGTATATGTTTGAAGACAATATTGTGACGACGATTCTTGAAATCGCATTTTTTGGACGGAAGAGGTTTTAGGGTCAATGTGTTTAAATGGTGATATTCTTTCAATGGATTGAGCAATTTCAGTAATTGTTTTCATCTAAATGTAGCTTATGAAATTGGCTTTCCAGTCATTAATATTTTTTGGTGCTATAATTTTTGGAGGTTTGGGTTCCGCTTTTTTTGACTCACCCTGGATGGGACTCTACGGGTTTTGATGTTGGTAAAAAGGGGTGATTGCATCGTTATGCGTGAAAATTACTACGAGCTTAGCAGTATGAACTTTGGACATCATTATTATATATCGGGTATTGTACCAATACACTATGGGTGAATCATGATGCTTCACAGTTGACGAAACTGTTCACGTTAATCAAACCAACAGTGGTAGAATTATAGAATGTGAATATCGTCAGCTATAGTGTTCACAGAATCGGTTTGACGTCAATAAGGTGAGAAGATTTTCGTGATTAATGATTTACCATTGGCAAAAAGGGAGAACTGCAGGTTTAAAAATAAACTCTTTTATGTTCAAGGTCAAAATGTGAACTAAATACTGACAGACCCACGCTATCAAGACTATTTCAATGAACGTGCAGCTCTGATGCATCGCACGCGTAGTACAGTGGCTCCACTTGCAAGCGGATTCGAAAACCCTCATTCGCACGATTGGTCATCCGTGTCAAAAATTTTTTTGCCCCCCCCCCCCCCTTATAGTATTGAATAGAGGGCTATAGGCTTAGGCCGTCCACTTGACAGAGCGCAACAATATTCTCGCTTGGTTGTATGCGTATACTCACAAGTATTGACAATGCATTATGCATCGAATTCCAACGACACGCTCTAAGCCATAGCATAGTAGTCAATCGATTTATGGGAATTCACTTGTACTTCCTAGCATTGATATGTATGGTATTAAATCTGCAGGAACATGGCGCTGCCCCTTGCTCCGTTTGTAGCCACTTACTGGCCACACATCTTGTCGGCCTTGCTCTGTTTCGTACTCGGTAGCGTCTTCGCAAGAGCGTTCAGCACCGTGCCGCCGTACGGACGAAGGAGACGGCACTCCTCGGTCGCTGACGGCCCGCTAGATCCGCCACCGAACGACGAGGAAAATACCCTGCGTGTCCCGTACTCTCTGCCCGGGTACGGCGATGGGGAGATGGTGCGACGATCTGACCGGTTTTACCGCGAAATGGACACTCGCCGCTCCGTCCGAGACATCTCAGATCAGCCAGTACCCATAGAGGTCATAGAGAACTGCTTACGGACAGCAGGTATGTGTCAGTAAGTTTGGAAGTCCAGGTGCTTTTTAGAACAACTTTTACATCACAAGTCGATTCGGTCATAAGTAATTATCACAAGTCGATTCACAAGTCAAGTCACTATAGTCCTATATAACATACAGGCCGGGGATGAATTGTTATGGCGTGCCTATGTAACCGTTCATTTGAGTGGCTTGTAAGTTTAAATTGATTTGGGACTGGAGGCTTGTCGCTGACTTGTGCATTTTTGATTGAATATTGTGACCCATCAGATGTAGTCGATAATTAGCTGGGGTTAAATACAATAGAGCTCTATGGATGTACAGGGGTACGCCTCATTTTCTGGACGGAGGCACTTGATGAATGCCCCCCCCCCCATGAAACCTTGTCGCCCCCCAGTCGCCCCCCCCCCCCCCCCCCCCCACTGAGATTTTGAATTTCTAACAAAATTATCATTGATCTACATGACGCCCCCCATGTAATGTTCCAGCCCCCCCCCCCCCCCCCCCCCAGCGCCCCCAAATTCCTGGCTACGCCACTGTGAATATCATAACATGGGAGCCGGGAGGGACCCTTAACAAGGGACTCCTAAATATGATTATTCAACCCAGAAGAAAGCATGATAGCCATATAGGTAAGCTTTTGATGTAATAATACATGGTATAGGTTTTTTTTAATTTGTTAAACATCACTCTCAATGTAGTAAAACATTATTTGCTGTGCAAATTTACTGAAATGTTTATACTTTGCAATTGCAAGATGTAGCTTGAGATCTTTAATGGCAAAAAATAGTTGAGGTCCCACATCAGCAAGAAGAGAAACAAACAATCCTTAATTATGTCAAGCTTGATTCTCATCGGAGAACGGACATAGATCTAAGAAGGTACAGGTCGTTAGGGCGAAAAATGGGTCAAAAGATCAAATTCGTGTTTTTCGGGTAATCGATATCTGTTGAAATATCTTTCATTTTGGAATACATTTTGCCTCAAGGGGCTACGTCATTCTGACGTAATTAACAGAATACAAAAGACAAAAGGATTTTTTCCTCATGAATTTTCCCCGGCCTAAGGACGTTACATGTACATGTAGCTGTAAAAAGTACCAACTTGAATATGTTCCCAGTGCGCTAACGTCCCACTGAAGTGGGGAGGTAAAGCAAAGTTTATTCCCGGCAGAAGGTCGTTATGATTTTGATTTTGAAATGCCACTTTAGTGCACATTTTATTTAAGGCAGGATTTTTAAGTCATTTTAAGTCAAAATCTCAGCCTTGTGTGATTTTTGATTTAGAAATGGGAGCACAAAAAGATAAACTTGATTATCTCCCCACGTGTTTTTGCGTGCCTGAGGTATAACGTCCTTTTCCTTGGCACACGACTGTCTCGTGCTTAGAAAAATGTCTGCTCACCAACGACTCTTTCTTCACGGCAAAGTTGAAGCTTCGCATGATTTCATCCCTAACACATGACCCTTTTTTGGCCGTATTGCCAACCCAGGCACCGCCCCGAGCGGCGCCCACAAACAACCCTGGACCTTTGTGGCCATCAGTAGCCCCGAGGTCAAGCTCGAAGTGCGGCACATCATCGAGGAAGAAGAGCGCATCAACTACGAGAAGCGGATGAGCGAGCAGTGGCTGAAGGACCTGGAGCTGATAGGAACGGGCTGGAGCAAGCCCTACCTGACCCGGGCGCCGTACGTCATCATCGTCTTCAAGCAGCAGTTCGCAGTCACGGAGGAAGGGGAGAAGAAGACCCATTACTACCAGGAGATAAGCGCCTCCATAGCCACTGGATTTCTTCTAGTAGCCCTGCATGTAAGTCGTGTTTGGGTATGCAGCTTCATCGCTCGGTACCCTGCACCAACATAATGGCGACGGGTGACCTCTGATTTCTTTGAGCTCTCAGTTGTACAATCTCTTTAAAATGCATATACTATATAGTGGAGCTGCTTAGGTCCATTTTTGGCCCAAATCGTGCACTTTGTGGTAAAAGCATGAAATTTGGCAGGTGGGGTCCAAATGGGCTAGAATTCATTTTAAGATCGGGACCCATCCTGGATCTTGCCCATTTTGGGGGCGGAGCTTGATTTTTTTAAAAGGGGGTGCAAACAATACAAACTCATGAAAACTGTATTTAACATCCATTTTCCTTGTTTTTCTATGGTTTGAAATAAACTTAAACATAAAATATAACATTCTAGCTTTCGAACACCAGTTAATTTCCACCCATTTTGTAGGCGTGGCCTAAATGTACAAAAGAGGCGGTATATATTAGCAGTTTGGTTCTAATATAGAAAACATTATTCGGTTTGGTAGTAAAATCCTGAAAATTGGCAGGTCTAGTTAAAATGGGCTGAAAATAATTTTAAGAGGTGAACACATCTTGGATCTTGCACAATTTTGGGGGGCGGAGCTTGATTTTTCAAAAAGGGGAGTGCAAAAAATAAAAAGCTCAGAAAAACTGTATTTAACATCCATTTTCCTTTGTTCTTCATGCTTGAAATAAACTTAGACATGAGAAATAACTTTATGAGAAATAACACGTTAAAATTGTGCAGCAGCAGGATTCCAGTCGAACCAGTGAGTTTGATGGTATGAGACATCATGTTACATTGAAAGACATCATCTTACATTGCCGACGCGCATGGCTATGGCGACGCGCGCGCATACCAGAAACCAGAGCCTTTTTTGGCCTAATAATCGTTTTCTTCGTTTTGTATGAATAAAAAGGAGTAAATGCTTCAGATTTCAAATATGCACTTGTCATTTACAAGGCTGGGTTGGGGCAACCTTGAAATTATAAAGCAAAATAATTCTGCCCAAAAACTACTGCATTTATTAAAGTTCATAAAGTACAAATGATACCATATGTTTGTATGAATAAAGCATGGCATTTGCTTTTTTTACCACTTTCGAAGCATTTACTCGCATCAGTATGAATGAAAATTAAGCAAACACTTTTACTAAAAACCATTTGCTCTTGAGTAAATGGCCTGCAAAATGTAAAGCTTTACATGTTTATAAGTTTGCAGAAAATAAAACTATCATAACCGAAACGGAAAGCGGCACCGGGGAGGGTCACGTGCTGGAGGACAGATACAAAAAAAGCGCATCAAACGCGACGAACGCAATGCCGTTTACGTGCACAATGCGCTGTGCATCGGCACCCATGGTCTACATGTGGATTGGGTTTTCAGTCCCTACCTGATTCCGTGGGTTTTCCCCAGACTATTCTTCTGGGGTTTTCCTCCCACCTCTAAAACTGTAATTTCTTCTCATTGTCTTCTCTCTACGTTTTTTTTTATCGGGGTTTGCGAGCTACAGTGCCTGGGGCATGCACTTTTGAGGATCCTTGGTTTCATTACCAGAAAAAAATTATTTATCGTTTACTTCGTTTCGTATGAATATAAAGGAGTAAATGCTTCAGATTTCAAATATGCACTTGTCATTTACAAGGCTGGGTTGGGGCAACCTTGAAATTATAAAGTAAAATACTTCTGCGCAAAAATTACTGCATTTATTAAAGTTCATATTAGTACAAATGATACCATGTTCGTATGAATAAAACATGGCATTTGCTTTTGCTACCATTTTGAAGCATTTACTCGCATCTGTATGAATGAAAATTAAGCAAACACTTTTACTAAAAACCGTTTGCTAAATTCTGAAAATAATTACTTTTACCTTTAAGCTTTTGCTACACTATAAGCGTTTACTTCGTTTCTTATGAATAAAAAGGAGTAAATGCTACAAATTTTAAATATTTACTTGTCATATTTCAAGGTTGGGTTGGGGCTACCTTGAAAATATAAAAGCACAAAATTAAAAGCAAAAATTACTGCATTTATTAATGTTAATCGCGAAAAAGTACAAATAATACCATACGGTAGTTCGTATGAATAAAAACTGGCATTTGCATTACTCCCATCTGTACGTTTCGTATGAATATAAAGGAGTAAATGCTTCAGATTTCAAATATGCACTTGTCATTCACAAGGCTGGGTTGGGGCAACCTTGAAATTATAAAGCAAATAATTCTGCGCAAAAGCTGCAGCATTTATTATATGTTAATCGCGAAAAATTAATATTAACAAAGTTCATAAAGTACAAATGATACCATGTTCGTATGAATAAAACATGGCATTTGCTTTTACTGGTACTTCCAATTTTGAAGCATTTACTCGCATCTGTATGAATGAAAATTAAGCAAACACGTTCGTGTAGGTTTTATATGAATTAATCCCTAAACCCTATGATCTCAGAATAAATACAAGATTTCTATTGTTTTAGCCACTGTGACCTTGACCCTTGACCTTTCGACCCCCAATGCGATAGGCCTATGACCAAGAACGATCCACAAACCAAATTTGAAGTTCACATGTAAAGTATTTCTCAAGTTATCGCGCTGACAAAATTTCTTTTGTTTTAGCCACTGTGACCTTGACCCTTGACCTTTTGGCCCCAAATACAAAAGGCTTCTTAGGATTGCCAAGGTCAATCTACAAACCAAATTTGAAGTTCATATGTAAAGTATATCTCAAATTATCACGCTGACAAAATTTCTGTTGTTTTAGCCACTGTGACCTTGACCCTTGACCTTTTGGCCCCAAATGCAATAGGCTTCTTAGGATTACCAAGAAAAATACACAAACCAAATTTGAAGTTCATATGTAAAGTATTTCTCAAGTTATCGCGCTGACAAAATTTCTTTTGTTTTAGTCACTGTGACCTTGACCCTTGACCTTTCTGCCCCAAATGCAATAGGCTTCTTAGGATTACCAAGAAAAATACACAAACCAAATTTGAAGTTCACATGTAAAGTATATCTTAAGTTATCACGCTGACAAAATTTCTTTAGTTTTAGCCACTGTGACCTTGACCTTTGACCTTTTGGCCCCAAATGCAAAAGGCTTCTTAGGATTGCCAAGGACAATCCACAAACCAAATTTGAAGTTCATATGTAAAGTATATCTCAAGTTATCACGCTGACAAAATTTCTTTTGTTTTAGCCACTGTGTCCTTTTACCCTTGACCTTTTGGCCCCAAATGCAAAAGGCTTCTTAGGATTGCCAAGAACAATCCACAAACCAAATTTGAAGTTCATATGTAAAGTATTTCTCAAGTTATCGCGCTGACAAAATTTCTATTGTTTCAGCCACTGTGACATGGACCCTTGACCTTTCGGTCCCAAATGCAATAGGCTTCTTAGGATTACCAAGAACAATACACGAACCAAATTTGAAGTTCATATGTTTAAGTATTTCTCAAGTTATCCCGCTGACAAGATTTGTCCGGACACACACACACACCCAGGTTTACGTTACATACCTTGTGTGGACATTCCTTTGTTTTCGTGTAGTTAAGAAAACTCGGTACAAAAAATAACTTTACTTAAACTGTGAAAACTCTTTCAACCCAATTTTTTTTCTATGATTCCCTATAGTGTTTCTCTTCATTCTGCTACGGATAAACCTAACCCAAAAATGCCTCTAAACCTGTTTTCCAGAAAGGGCAAAACGTTATGTGGACACGGCTTAGTCCACATAACGTTAACACAACCTGCATTATGTGGACATCTTTTGTTCACAAGTCCACATAGGGAATGTAAGACAAACTCACACACCCACCCACCCACGGAAGGACAAGGCGGAAACAGTATGCCCCTTCGGCTTCGCCGCGGGGCATAAAAACGCCTGAAAGGGCACCCCCTAGCACGTCCAAGAAAGTTAGACTATTTTTAATTTAAAAACCATTCATCCAAATTTTACCAAACTTACCCTTAGATATTATATAGAAAAACATAATGACTTCGTGAGGTTTTAGGACGTGACGTCAGCAAACTGGACATTGCTAACGCATTATTTAAGAAGTTACATAATTTCTCGAAAAAACCCAACATTATTCCCTCCTTTTCAGTCAGTAACACATTACTCCCCCAAGTCCCAACATCCATCTAAATTGTAAATCCAACAGTACACACTGCAAGGAATGGACGCAGGCGCGGTTCTACCGGGGGGGGGGGGGCTAGGGGGGCTGTAGCCCCCCCCCCCCCCAATTTTGTCTAGCCCCCCCCAAAAAATAAATTCCGTAAAAAAAAAAATTGCATTAGCATAAAGAAGGATTGTGATGTACATGCGAACGGTCTCCCCCTAAAGAAGAAATAGCTGTGACAAGGGTACATTAGTTAATATAGCGTGAATGATTTTAGGATTTTATTGGCGCTCCCCATTGAAAATATGGCATGAACCCCCCCCCCCCCTCCCCACTTATTGATTTTCGGAGGCCTAAGTGTCTGGAAAAAATAACCGGTCAACATTTCAGCACGCCTCCCTGAAAAAGTTCTGGATCCACCGTGCTAGCCCCCCCCCCCAAAAAAAAATATTGGTTCTAGAACCGCGCCTGAATGGACGTATATTCTGTGCACATTTTTATGTTTATATGCCTATAAATATATATATATATATATTAAACATATTAGAAGAGCACTTTCAAGAAATCCTTCATTGGGCCGCCCCTAATTCCCCTCCCTCTCCTTGTGATCCCCATAGTGTTTATAATACATGCACAATTAGGAAATGCCGCCATTGTAAGTATACAGGGTGAGTGAACAAAAGGGCAACAATTAGTCTTGCAACCGTTTAAACTTATCTTTACAGTGTATGGTAAACATAGTTAACCGATAGAAAAGTTGTGTTTTTACCAGCAAAAATGATGATTTTCCCTCGTTTGAATCAAGCTGCTCTAATGTACCGCCTCTTTACATATTTAGGCCACGCCCGCAAAAGGGTGAAAATAACACGTTAGAATGTTAGAATTTACAAAGTGAATGTAAAATACAATTTTCTGAGTTTTCTTTTTTTGCACTCCCCTTTTTGAAAAATCAAGCTTCGCCCCCCAAATGGGCAAGATCCAAGATGCGTTCACCTCAAAAAATTATGTTCGCCCATTTCAATTGGACATACCAATTTTCAGAATTTTACCACCAAACTGAATGACGTTTTCCATATTAGAACCAAACTGCTAGTATATACCGCCTCTTTTACCATTTAGACCACGCCCGAAAAATGGGTGGAAAATTAACAGGTGTTAGAATGCTAGAATGTCTTATTTCATGTTTAAGTTTATTTCAAAGCGTAAAAAAAACAAGGAAATTTGATGTTAAATACAGTTTTCATGAGTTTGTATTGCTTGCACCCCCTTTTTTGAAAAATCAAGCTCCGCCCCCAAAATGGGCAAGATCCAGGATGGGTCCCGATCTTAATTTTGACCACACATGCCAAATTTCATGCTTTTACCACAAAGTGCACGATTTTTCGCTTAGCAGCTCCACTAATAGGACCATTTGCATTTATCCAAAAAGTAACATACCGAATATCAATACGCTTATACTTCGATTAAAGATGGAACTGATACTAAACACCCCTTGAAATTATTCCCTCTGGCTTGCTGTCATTTAGACGAAATCAAGAAATGTATTTGCAATGATCAGTCAATATTGACTGGTTTGTAACAATGAGTGCAAGTGGTGAAATTGTGTTTCGTCATCAAACGGTTCTGCGTGCATGGTTTTTCCACTGATTTCTCGAAAAGTGTAATGTCCACTGAGCTGAAACTTCAACAGGTTAACCAAGGTTTTTGACACTCCTCTTTTATTATTGAAAACGAACAAAATGTATGGAAAGCAAAAGTGACCCCAAGCAAACGCTTCCGTTGATTTGCGCATTTTTGTTCGAACAAAATGAAACTACAATGTTAATGGCATTATAAAAAAAAAAAAATCCAAATGTCGGGACCATTATTTTTTAATGGTGATTTGAATGATTCTTGTAAAAGAAAGCTTATGAATTGGGCTTTCATATACTAGATTTTGAAAATGCTACATGCAGAACTTCCCCAAAAAATTGTCCAGACATTTGGGTTTCGCTTTTTCTACTCGCCCTGTATTAATCACACTTGAAGAAAACAATGAAGGTGGCTAGCGAAAAATGAAGTGCAGAAACAGCTGCTATCCTGTTTTTTTCTTTAAAGTTCCATAACCGTGGATATATCGCGATTTTTTAAATAAACTCTTCAGGTTTCTAATGGTCCCTATTTATTCCGAGCAGTTTGTATCCCCTATATACTCTCCTCATTTCATTATTGGACAGGCGTGCTACAAAACACATCTGAAAGGAACTAAAAAGACCAAGTCTATTTTCATTCTTTCAGAACGCCGGCCTCGTCACGGTGACCACCACCCCAATGAACGCCGGTCCACGCCTGCGTGCCCTGCTGGACCGACCGGTAGGCGAGAAGGTCTTGGTACTACTCCCGGTAGGTCACCCTGAAGAAGACGCCACAGTGCCGGACTTGAGAAGGAAAGCTCTCGGCGAAATCATGGTGCTCAAGGATTGAAATAGTTCACTGACCTCCATGTAAAAAAAAGTGTTTTATAAATTTTACAACTGAGAAAGAAATAATCTGCTATAAATTCTCACTGCCTGGATGGATTAACCTCAAACATACAAATTGTAGAAGTTAGCAGGCCCGAGGCTGACCACGTTTGGATTTTAGCGAGGCTACACTCGCAAGCGAAGACTCGTTGGTGATGTTACTGGAAGGTTAATGGTATTACGTATAGGACCCTAAAAAAAGGTTATCAGTGGGCCTCTTTCGAACCGACACACTCTAAAAACAACTTAGTCAAAATATTGACTGGTTTTCCTAGTTATTGAAACTGGACTATAGTTAAACATGCAAAGTTTCATGCTGTGACTAGACAAAGTAGTTGGATTTGACATCAATTTTAGTTATGCGCATAACTATTTTTCCTATAGTCAATAACACTGACTGGAAAAATCTAGTCAGATTGACTGATTTTCAGGTGCACCCAGCTGACCCTGAATAGTTAGTCAAAGTTAAGTGGTGTCTAGTCAAATCTGACTAATGTTTTAATTGTTTTAATTTTTTTTTTGCAGAGTGTAGAGGTCTCTATATGATCGCCTTCTCCATTAATCAAGCTGTTAAACCGATTGTATTTTTATACCAATACTCAGTGGAAACAAACGTGAGACCTGTATCAAAGCTTATCCGAAAATCGAACTTAAAACGTACAGGTATATAACCGATGGAACTGCAGCTGCTGTATATCTGTCTACACAACGTTGGTTAAAATGTTAACCAATTTTTTTTAACCAACAAAATTTTAACGAGCGTTTTGAGAGTGTATATTAAGCCAGTACATGTAAATGTTTTATCAACGTTATAGCCAAACTAATTTAAAAAGAACACCTGATTTGTGTATACGAAAGAAACAGACGGACGTTCCGCCACACCTGTATAGGCTACAAAGTCCTTATTATAATAATAATATTGTTACTATTGTATACATGTAGTTAATAATTATTCAATATGCCTGGGCAAAGGACATACGTATACAAAGCCATTATGGTGATAAAACCTTTTTTTATCAACAGTTGTAGGCATACACAATGCACCATACTATGCGGTATCGTAATTTATAAAAGATATGCTTGAGTACTGCTATGCTAAATAGTATGCTAAATTGCATTTGTTTTATGACAAACGACGGGAGCCTGAGGATTAGCGACCCTTCATTCCGTATGCAGACAATTAAAATCGGTGGTTTCTTTTACAATTTGCCATGAAGGAGTTAATGGGTTTTTTTTTTTATTGAATACACTAATTTGTTCAATTTACAAAGCAAAACAACTTAAGTCAGCCGTCTCCTACGAACTTTAACTTGAAGGAAATAGGCTAAATGTGATTTTGGATCATGTTGTGAACTTGGTCTAGATAGTGAAATAACTCACTGAAATCACTGCCAAAATTGACGAACTTATGTATTTTTTTAAACATGATGATGTTGTTACTATGATCGTGATGTTCAAAATACAAAAATTCAAAATATACCGAGCGTGTCAAGTCTGATTATTGTCTCGTTCCACATAATTATTGTGTGTTGTTGATAACCGTCTTGTTTTTAGCAGTGCGTTTGATGTAATATTTCAAAAGTCAATATTGAGCTTTGAAGTTCTCAATTCTGCTTGTATCGTCTTTGCTTCTGACGTCATAACGGCACGTTTTATCACCCGGAAATAAAACTGATTAACGCATGGAAGTATCTTTGGCAAAGCGAAGATATAGCGCTGATATCCTTAAAAAAAAAGTATTTTCGCATGAAGTGGTATCATTCGGAAACAACCATTGATGGTGGTTAAAAAAACCCCGACGATTCGGACCGAAGGCCAAAAAAAAAGTCTCCGGTTTCTGGTATGGAGCTCGCCCAAAAGTGGTGCGGCGACGCGGCTTTTTTTTTTTTACCTGATTTTTTTTGCTTCAAATGTCGGCTGATGACTGCAAATGGTGCCCGACTAAACTTAGTGCAAATATATGGGAGTCCAGAGAGGCCACATAAAGCTTATTCTCGACCATAACCTAATCTAAAAACACGTTAAAATTGTGCAGCAGCAGGATTCCAGTCAAACCAGTGAGTTTGGCGGTTTTGAGACATCATCTTTCATTGAAAAAAAAAACTTTTTCATTTTGCCGACGCGCATGGCTACGGCGACGCGCGCGCATACCAGAAACCGGAGACTTTTTTTTGGCCTAAGCATTCCGAGAACGAAAACTCTTCTTTTTTTTCTTCTTCAAGTACTGCCGAATTGACCGAAATCAGATTAGTTTGCAATCGGTATATAATTCCGAGAATTAGAACGATTTTATAACAAACTGCATGGAATCATACCCACGACAAACGACAGCGCACTATTCTGGCTTTGAAGGGGCCAAACATTTCACGGCAGGCTGATATAGTCTGCAAAGGCACACTTCTCGAAATTCATTCTAGATTGAGTATGTCACGTGACCTGTTGTCTCTGCCCCCAGACTTCGTGACTTTCTAGCTTGCTGGGGAAAAATTGCGACAAACAAAACTTGTGACCGAAAATTGACATCGATATTTGCGACAGACTGTTTTCATAAGTTGATGTCACTCCGCCCCGATCCATTGTTGATGTAACCTAACGTGGCGCGGCCCCCAACGTGGCGCACTTTGATTTTTCGCCTGTAGCGCCTAGCTAGAGCAAAAGTTTTAACTGAAATTTCACAGAAATTGAAATTTCATCAAGTTCTAAATACTCCCGTTCATAAATCGCGAGTTTATTTTCCCGTTACAAAGTTAAAAGAAAAAATTATTTCAATGGCGTGATTTTCCGATTTTATTTTCAAGTGCAAGGTGAACCCTTTGCAAATGCCCCGAAAAATAAGAAAAGAAATTCTGACAAACATCTGGCTGGGTAGGCCTATGTAACTAGAGATAATAATTGTTTATCAGACTTTATCAAGTTTACAGAAATTCTTAAATGTTAATTTGGAATTTTCCAAGATTATGATTCAAGTGCGCCACGTTAGGGAACACTCCGCCAATTTGTGCCCAATTTCCGGACGCCACCGTTTTTGAATTTCGGATTCAAATTTTATGAAACCGAAATTTTCACAGAGGTTAAATAGCAAGCATTGAGAAGGTAAAAGTACATTTTTGTCAACAACTAGGTTTGGCAACACTACACGAGGAAAGTTAGGTAAAAGTAAGCTTCGAAGTGCGCCCCGTTAGGGAACACGACTATATATCCACTTAGCTGAGAATTCGACAACTTATTTTTTCTAAAACCTGCTTCAGACTTAAGTTATATTGTATTATTCCTTGAGTCGCTGACGATACACTTTTGCAAATGGTGTCCATTACCCCGATTGACAAGTGATGCAAAAGTGGTGAAGGGAATACTGATTTTTTTTCATTCCTTGCCGGATATGCCTCATCAGCTTCGTTTCCGCCGCTAAACCACGAACCAGCCAGTGGCAATTCATGTTCCACCCCAGAGAGAAAACGAGTCTGACTCTCTAATTCAACTCCTTGGTTGGACAGTTGTAGTTCTTTATGTCTATGAAACAAACCGACCGCCACAAATTGGTAAGTGCGCCCTCAATAACAGTCCCGTTCAGCACACGTGTACATTGTGGGCAAGCATGTGACGGAAGGGGATTCCCCGCCGATTCTATTCACAGAATGAACACGTTGCAAATTCCACGATACACGGATCTTGCGGACCGCGCCGGATCGGACTGGCCATGCATGCCATGCGCGCGCACCATGCGCACTAGCTATTTGCTTCAGTTGAGCTCTAGCACGCGTCGAGTGAACACGGCCGAGCGAACTCGCCGAACCATACGGCAATTCCTTCACTGTTTACTGGATTTTTAAAAGACTGACATACAATGACGTTGGAAGAAGAAGTGGACCTGAGTGTGAAGTCAAGAAATAGCAAAGAGTGAGTATTTTCTTGCTGATTTTTCGGTTTTATTGGACGGTGTTTACACTGGGGTTTGGAGTGATGGTTGCATGATGAGTCATGATGATTGCGGTCTGATTGCATCATGGTTGGGCAATGCATACCGCGCCGGTACTGCGTGCGTATCACATGTAACGTATTAGAAACGTATTGTTGTTGTCCAGCGCCGGCCGGCGCGATTGATGCAAAAATGCATGTCTGGACATGCCCACGCACACTTCGGGACTAATTGAAGAACTTTCCCCAATTATCTGAGGATTTACTGTAACCGTTAAAGCGAAAAGGGTTCAACCTTTTGCTGTTGAATCTTGCAAAAATTGTTTCACCAGGCATCATTTCCTAGGAACATGATGAAAAAAGTGGCTTCATGATGCAATATTCTCATGATTATTTCCATTTTCATTACTTTTTTTATCAGTCATTGTCGGTAGGCCTAAGTTATTTTATGCAAGTTATTTTATTGTTTTTTATCGTTTTTTTTTTTTTTTTTTTTCACAAATGTATTTTTGACAAAAATTATTTGGGACTAGGAAACTTTTCCAATTTTGTTTAGAAATACTCTGAAATTTGTTTACAACTCCCAGAGTGTTTGTACATAACTACAAGTATTTTATGTCAGGACTTTCTTTCCAAAAACTGTATTGTTTTCAAAAAAATAAAACATTTTAGTTTTCTTTTGTGTAGGGCCTACCATTTCTTCCAAACTACTCATATAACTTTCATGAATTTTGTTGTGGAGGAATTGAAAAGTGTTAAATGAACACGTGGAATAAAATGGGGAAAGAATGTTGCAACCTGGCGCTACGTCAGTGGCTGTGTACAAAGTCTATGGAGAGTCAAGAATTTTTTTAAAGTATTTCCTAACAAAATTGGAAATATTTCTCAGTCCCTGATTCATGTCTTATCATCATTTTTGCGAAACCAATGACTGATTGAGATGATAGGCCTATATGAAGAAAAAAGCAGCGTCAGGTTGCAACATTCTTTCCTAAAATGGTCATCCACACAGTAGGAACTATTATTGTATAACTGTGCAGTGACTAATCTAAATAACTATAAATAAACAAATTTAAGTGCCTTGGTGCTATAATTGAAACAGCATTCTTGTTGGCTGTCTGTATGGTGTGTGTTTTGAGTCACCCGGATGACTAATCAATCAACAATTTGGTTAATACTGGGATAGCCCTTTTTGTAACCACCACATTTTTTTTACAATTCACCATCCTGTTAACTGTTCACAATCTCATCATGGCCTAACCTACATTGTAGTCATCGGTGTTGCCATAGTAACCGCAGTCCCTATAGGTACACAGATGGTCCTGGCTAACCCAAACCACATCCTACTCGCTGATTCCAATGATACTTCCCTGGGAAAGTCTACCCACATTTTGTTTTTTCCTTCCAATAACGTATCCGGGACAGTCCCATATTTTTTACGCTGTTTTCCAGTGCCCCTGGAGAGTGTGTTTTCCAAGGAAAAACAGCTTGAGTTCAACAGGAAGGGCGAATTTTCTTTTTACAGTCAGCAAATTTTCACTAGCGGTATCCGATTCCGACACCCCTGCTTTTTTTAATGGTGAATGACTAGTACACCTCCATGAAAACAAACAATTTTTTTGGTATAAAAGGAGGAATACTATCAAACTAAACCTCACTGCCACATCTTTCTGAAATAAAGATGGACAAGTCGTGTCTATTGGAAAAGTCGTATCTGTTTCACTTGCATTTTCAAGAACTGCACAACAGGTAACATTTTTGTCGTTCAAAGAAAATCGATTGCAACATATGGTATCCTGCCATTATGAAAGTGAAAGTAGTAGTGTCGGTGACTTTTCTTTACTTGAGTGGCTTATTTGACGGATGCTCTTTTATTTAGGTTTTGTATTGGTCTACTTATGCCTTTATCTGAGCTTATGCTTATCAATGTCAATTCAGAACGGTAGTTCATTTTGATTAAACATTCTTGTCTTGTAAAGTTGTATCAACCTGTAATTTCAGGGTAAACTAACATGTAAATTTCTTTGGAGCAGTCTACATGTACACATAATTGCTAGAAAGTACTGCATTTTATCTTTATTATCATTTAAATGCCGGTGCCTTCTGTGCCAGGCACACAAATTCCAACCATTGTGCACTCTGAACAATGCCCATGTAGGAAAATACCTTAACCCTTGGTTCACACCGTGTAGCACTAGTAGTGCAGTAATACTACTGGTGAAATTCTTAGCATCAGTGGTCATAGTGGAGTGACGATGAGTCATCCATATTCCCAGGGTGTGTTTCAATATTGACTTTTTTAAAAGGCTGACCGGGCAATTTTACTATAGGTAGGGTGGGTCTACTCAAGCTTGCCCTTGAAAAACATAATCAATATGTACTTAAACAACAACAAAATTGTTTCAAATTTACAAAGGGATGGAAATATAAATTCTTGTTTTAATTTTTTTATTCAAGCATGAGATTTTCCAAGACTTTTGTCTAAAATCAGTATGGAAAAAATGCAGGTTTTTTTTTTTTTACTTTCATCCAATATTTTCGTTCTTTTCTTAACTGACAATCTCATCCCTTGTTTTATTACAAAATTGATAACTTTGTTATTATTTTCATATTTATATACTTATTTGTTGTCACGCTGCTGCAAGGTTTGTTGGTGCTGCATATTTGAAACTTTCTTAATTTCAGTATTAAAAACAATTAGCATTTTATATGATACTTCAGTTCTTACACTTACAAGGAACGACGAGAACCTCTGCCTAGAAGTGCACCACAAAAACACTTTTATATCAACTTTATTTCACGTTTGTCAATCAAATGTACATGTTTACTTTGTCCAAACTCTGCAATTACTGAAGTGTGAATAATGGTTGCACAGTTGTAACTTGCGATTAGTTTCCTACAAATTAATGTTCATATTATATTTTCCTCCGCAGCAAAATGATTAAGATGGATGCTGCGATGGCACTGCAGGAGATGCTCCTAAGTGCGAAAATGGAGGGCCGTATCACCTATGGAGTCTACCCCTCGGTCAGAAAACTGGGCAGGTCAGTTTTCAAAAGTCTTCATCTGTCAATTTTTTTAAATTGCATGTTGAAAAATACAAGGTTTTTTTCATTTTTTTAATATTTTATCGGTTGTAATTGTCCTCATTTCGCTTGAAAGAGTGAAACAATGAAAAATCTATATGTGCATGAATCAAAAAAGGATAAAACATTGACGAGTTTAAAATGAGTTTGATGAAATTTTATTCGTCCGGACGAAACCAGTCATAAGTTGCCATAGTTAAACATTGAGGTAATTGAATTTTTTTACAAATCATTGAAATCCTGCATTATGGAAATCAATGGAAACAGCAAACAATTCCACAGTTTTACAAAATATTTTCATATGTGAAAAGCCAGTCAGTGAAAAAAAAACCTTTTCATGGACAAAAAGGCACATTTCTTAAAAAGAAAAGGAGAAAAAAAAAGACACTTTCATGGGATGAGGTCACATGTGTTCCTTTGTTTTTTTTATGCAGTGAGCCGGATAGAGTGATGCTCTGTGTCCATGCCGACGATAACGCTGATGAGGACGTGGCCCTTCACATCCACTTCACGCTCATGGAGGCGTTCTGTCGTGAGAACGGCATCCGGCTTCTGAAGGTTCGTGATGACATGAAACCGGATTCGTTTAGGGAGGGTGGGGCGTGCTTCCGAGCCAATCAATTAAGGGTGTGTGTATGCAATTGATAGTCTGAAATCTAGTCAGGTGCGAGCTTCCTGGGTTATTCAAGCTTTCGATGGACATCATAATAGCAGTTTTCTGATCAATAATAATAATAATTTTAATTTCACACAAAAGTATGTGAATCAAAACACTTTAGTGAGGATGAAGAATTTTTCTCATATCTTATAATGAATGCATGACCATCACCTCAAGTTTTGTGTTTGTTGACATGAAGTAAAAAAAAATTTTTTTAAATGGCAAGGTTTGATATTAAAAGTTTTTAATAATATGCAAATACTCAAGCATTAAGAACAATAGTTAACACATTTTCAGGCTTTTCCTTAACATCAATGTCGAACATGTACGTACAACTACGAAGTAAGCAAGCTGCATAAAAAGCCATACTCCATGTGCAGTGTACATGTATGTACATGTACATGTACATTGTACCATGCATTATGTGGTGTACATGTGTATGTGTACACACACAAACGGTGCATACCCATATAAGCACTTTGACCCTTGGGCTTCAAATAAATTCTGAGAAATCTTCCCGGTCTTCAGGAGAAATGATTTGTATGTTTTCAAGGATTTGTTTTCAACAATTTTTGTTTTTCAATTCGTTCTTTGAAAAGATACAACAGTGAAAATACTTTGACAAATGTGTATACAATTCAAAACCTTATATTTTGTAAAAGTTGTATTCCCTGTGCTCTTTTAACAAATTCTTTTTTTGGTACGAATATATTTTCAACTTGAATGTTTTAGTCCAACCAAAAAACCTCCTTTTTCCTTTTTTGGGGACATCTGCAGACCTTTGGATAATAGTTTTGTTGTTTTGGGGTTTTACACAAAATTTACAACCTTATATTTTGTTAAACCCACAGGTTGGCTGTCACGAAAGTTTGGCCAAACTTCTCCATCACGACGACGACGTCAATCACCATCCTCAAGTAGATGCTCTGGACAACGTGCCCGTTGCTCATGCAGTCCAAAGAGCCGGCACTGAAGACTTTGTCTGCCTTCTTGTGGATGTAAGTTTCAAAATTTTATAATCGTATTTCAATATTTTGGCGTATACTTGTATCAGTGCTTATACTTAATTTTATTATTATTTAAAGTTGCTCTGCCCATGGTCTTCAACTTATTGATTTTTTTTCTTCCAACAAATTTTCAATTTGCATTTTGTATTTTAACTGGCAAAAGCTACTTTTTTTCTATTTTGGAGAATTCAGAAATGTTCAATGCTTTGGATTTTTATTTTGGGTCGCTTTTGTAATTCCCATAACGAACAAAAAGATATGCCTGAATTATGGTTGTATTGCATAACCAAAATTGGGCCTGTCTTTTTGTTTGATGTCTTATTCACACGTGAATAACTTTGGAATGGCTAGAAATATAGCAATTTAAAAGTAAAATCTATTTTTTGGGGTGGAAATAAAAAAAAATAGCAAGGGATGAGTAACTTTAAAACAAATATTCTAAAATTCAATATTTCAAAAGTTTAAGACCAGCTAGGCCTTCAGTAACTCTTGGCTTTGCACCACGAGGCAAAAGAAATCAGACATTTAATAATACACTGATCAATACATGACTACTTTGTTCAATTGCTATGCCATCTGATCCAATCACTTCTGCTACACATTGTTCGCTTTCCTGGAATCGCAGTGAACATCGTGCCGTCCTGTGCCATTCTAGGGAGTCTCTGAACTTTCGACCTTAGACAGTTAGAGTGCGTGTGCGTTAGGTACAAGGCCATTGTGTAGTATGCATTAAGCGATGGTGCTGTGTATTGTACATGTACCTAGGTACGTGCACGTGATTAGGCCAACAAAATAATAGTTCTGCTTCCGGTTACTCCACCTACATTGTACCCTTTTCTGACAACCCCTGCCCTAATTTTTTTCGGGGGGGGGGGGGGAGGAGCGGGGAAAATGAGGGAAAAGACCTGGAAACCACCAATTACTACCTTTTACCCTTTACTACACGCAGACACTCCATATGATCGGGCACAAAAAATTCCCCCCAAAAATCCCTACCTACCTACCCTAAATGCCATGTAATTGGAAACAGAAGTAATTTTTGGAATTAGGCTACCTTTTTGGAATTCTGTGAAGATGAGTTTGCCTTGTCTACTTATCTGCACAAACTTGTGCGACAGGATTGTCTTCAAAACCATATTTCTTAGGCAAAAAATTTTATGAGCTAAATTAATGCTTTAAAATTTTCAGGAAGATTAATTTGGTGCCTAGCTTTTTGCACATTTTGAATAATGCATGTCTTCTTTTTTTCATTTTTTTCCAGTTCCCCAAGGAGATTGACGCTGCGGTGAGCTGTTTCCTGGAGCACTACCACACCATGGCCCAGGAGATGCCCTTCCCCCGCATCTCCCTCGTGTCCTGAGGGAAACATGATCCCTAAAAACGACAGAGTGTGGTGCAAAGAGCGCCCTCTGTTGATAAAACTGATGAAAAAACAAAAACGTACAGTTGAACTAGCTGTACCACTTCGAGAAAAAGTGTGCCGCGTTAATCGGGGAAAAATTGCATGTGACTGTTAATGTTTCACAAAAACTGCCACTTTGATCGAGGGAACGTTGACACGTAATTGGGGAAATGTTCCCCCAGACGCTATAGCAGAGGACAATTTCAAGGTCTGTCGCCGTGGCAACAGGATACCTCTGCAGAATGGAACTGATATCCAAAGGACAGTTGAACACCGGTTCTTGCAAATTCCTGGCTGCCAGTTTAAAAGGGATCATGAAACTGAGGAATCCAAACTGCTGGAACTTACGGCTCCACTATAATGGAACATTTCCATAAAATTAAGGCACATGTAAATCACATGTTAAACACATGTTGGTCACATGTTGGTCACATGTTGGTCTCATGTTATTCACATGTTGGTCACATGTTGCCAGATATGTATGATTAGAGTAGAGAATCCAAGATTTTCCTAAGGAAAAGTTGAACTATTCAGGGGGGGATAGAGAGAACTTTTGTCAACACAGATAGAAACCAAATATGCCTTAAAAAGCAATTAACTGGGATTTGCAATATTTTTTTGGCATTATTTCAGGAAAGGGCTTGAAATTAAAGATTGTTTTCCAGTAATAATAATTATGTGAACAGTAAAAAGTGGTGAGAGGGGAGGTACCCCTCCCCCCCCCCCCCCCCACACACTCAGCGTAACTAGGGTCAAACTTTCGGAAGGCACCTACAGGGGTGTATCAATTTCAAGGGGGCATGTAAAGGCAAAAGAAACGTATCATTTCAACAGTGTAGTATAACTTGTTTTCTATTCCAGATTGCAAGGGGGGGGGCACCCAGTTTCCCCCTCCCCCTATTTTTAAGCCTTGGGTTAATCTGTGGATCTGTTGTGCTCTAACAAATTATTGTAGCCGCTAGCTTTCATTGCGTGATTTTGAAACCAATATCTATAATTTGGAATACGAGTGCCAAGCTAAGCTTGAATATAATGAATATGAGCATGACAACTGTATTTAATTCTTTAAAAAAATTTGGTGGCCAATCCTATTTCTTTTCTTGGTGTGCATAATTGATACAACAATATAGAAATCACTGATTTTGTATGTTACAGGCAAAGCCAAAATTGTTTTGTTTGTTCAGAAAGGATTCAGGTTTCAAATGCTGAGTAATATGGGTGTGCATTCCTTCAGATCAGTTTTATTGTATGTAGAAATTATTTTTCTTGTGATGGTAGTTAATGTATTCTGGTATACTGATAAGAGTTTCTGCATCATTTTGGAATCTGTAAATTGAAAGAATTTAGAGTCTTTATTGAAATGTAGCATGTCGCATGTTATGTAGAGCGGGTTATGGAATACTGGTATTCAAGAAAAAATACATTTAATATAAATCCAAATTTGAACACTCCATGAAAATATATAAATTATAACAAAAATCTAACATGTTTTATGTTCATGCGTTGTATTTTAAATATTAACAGATAATATATATATATTAAGACATATTTGTAGCTTATCAGAAGGGGGGCAGGATTTAAGTGATCATTTTTATTAAACTGTATTCCCATTTATTGTTGTTTTGCTGTATGTACATTGTATGTGCTGGTAAACCTAACTCCCTAGGGGGTGTGCAAAATCGTATTGAATTTTGAGGATTCAGGACTGTTGCCTGCCGTTAAGTCAAGCTTTTTTCTTTTTTTTAGCCACTGCAAAATCTTTCTCCGAAATTTTATAAGAAAGTTTTGAAATCATTGCCTCATCTGAATCTACTGCTGGTCGGCATTTATTCATCAATTTTTTTAAAGTTGTAGAAACTGGTTTGATTGTTGATACTTTATTATTTCCCAGAATGCCTAAGTGGAAAGATTATGTGTGTCTTTAAAACTGTCATGGTATTTGTATTGGAGTAATAAAAGTTTAAATAAATTTTTATGAAAAAGAACTTTGATTTTGTTTTGATATATAAATATATATAAGTTATTCAGTAATGGTCTGTATATATTTTTAAAGAAATTAAAGGTGGATCCTAAACCTTTTCTTGGGCAAGGGGGGGGGGGGAGATGTGGTGAACAGCCCAGGCCTTGCCATTAAAACGAGAGGTGCGACCTGACCCTCATTTTCTGACTTCTATCTTTTTAGGAGGATGAAAATGAATTAAATTGCTGCAAACTGCTTACTGACCGGATTGACCTGAAATACCAATTTTTCAATAAAATTCCTGTATGAATTTTGTTGATCTGCCTGACCTACTGGTCTTAAAAGACCTTCAGTTGCAAATTACCATTTTGTTTGCCTCTGAAGCCGTGAAGGTTTTAAGACCGGACGTCGGACGCTCTTAATCTTGTTGATTGTAAAGATGATTACTATTTCAAAAGGCAATGAGTAGACCTATCAATGTAAAACCAAACATGCATTTCATCTGTTTGGATAAAAAAAAAATGGGGGGGGGGCCTTAAACACTCCCCTCCCCCTATCATATCCCTCGCCCTCGATGTGCGCCACGCCCACGTTAGATGTCAATAGCGCCCTCATTTGTCTCAATGCTTCCAGTAAACAATGTAAAAAATGGCGAGTCGTAAATGTTGTGTCCCACTTTGTACGTCGAGCAACAAAACGTTAAATTTCAGCAATAGCAAGCTTTCTTTTCACTCGTTCCCTGTTGAAGAAAAGCACGAAAGACATGGATATCTGCAATATTCGGAGATGACGGAAACAAGTTCGAGGTATGCTTAGTTCAGAACCAATAAAGTAAAAATATTTATCATCATAATTTCGCGTTTCGCCGCGCCCATGCCGCGCCGTCATGGACGTGTGCTTGTTTACGGGGCGGGGCCGCGGGGCTGTGAACATGGTGAACCAGTTAAAACGCTCCCAACATGTACTGGCCAATCACAATCGTTCCTCTAGGCCTCATGACTGTGGTGATTGGCCTACATGTACTACATTTGTACCATCATTTGGAAAATTACTGAAGAACAAACTGATTAGTGATTTGTTAAAAGCTTGACATGCTTGACCATGTTGACCCAGACTGGGACCGTGAGTGCATAAAAACGTGCAAAATTACTACTGACGTTTTTTTACTCACCATTTGGCTAATTAATGCCCACACAACACAAACATCAAAATGATAAAGTTGCAAGCATGTCATCTGCGAAATTTGAGATTTTAAATCCAATTTTAAGGCAAGGTTTTGGCAGTTCAAAAACCACCCACGTCAACCTCCATGCTCTGGAAATGGGTGTGTGATTCCCAATGTATTCTGGGTAGGTGTAGGAAGAGCCTTGCAGCTTACTTGTTTTTTAATCAATGGCCAAATGAACATAGCGCCCTCTGCTAAAAAATGAAACATTTTGCATTCACTCAGATCAACAAGAGGGCGCTGTTTTATCTACATGATAAAAATGTTATAGCTGAGGAGTCTTTTTGCACAATGCATTGCAGTACACATCAATGTGATGTCTCACGTATGGATTTCGATAACTCTCTGCAAAATTACAATTAAAAGCTGAAATTTTGGTGATGCAATGCTCACAACAGCAACTTTGCGAGGCAGAAGTTTCAGGGATTATTGAAGAAACTGTAGTGAGTAAGAAGCTTGCAAATTTGATTCACACTGCACATACAAACTTATCGCGGAAATTCACCTATGCAAATTGGGGTCAACACGCCCCTCATTATGACGTCAACGTTGAGTTCGTGCTTGCGCTCATGCCATCAATTTCAGCCCGACTCGCTTCAGTTTTATAAATGAAATCATTATGCATCGGAGAGTGCACATGCCAGAAATTTACAGTAGAAAAGCTCATGATATCTGCTTTCTTTTGCCGAAGAAAGCATCAAAATCGATGACCTATTGCTTGAGTTTTGACAGTTGAAACATTTTTTTAGCGGTTTTTTTTTTAGGAACCAAAACTTCTTATTTTTCGAGGGAGTCCATCTTTTTAATCCTAAATTTCTCTCTTCTCGAATTTGGTTCGGGAAAACCGGAATTAGTTCCATATAGAACAGGTTTTCAGCTTTGATATGGTGTGGCACATGTGGGTGGCCGGTCTGATACGGCGATGGCCGCGAGCAATATGCATAAAAATTGCTCGCTAAAACTGCCCAAAATTGCGAATGATAGTGAAGTAATCACGTGATATAAACACGTGCAACGTGCAGGAGATATATATAGCTCAGTGAAAGGCGGTTACGAAGATTAAAGGGATCCCGTTTGATTAAAGGGATCCCGTTTGATGAAATGTGTGTGTGTCTCTTTTTTTTCTGTCCCTTTTACCCTGTATCCCGATGCAACGGAGTTGGGCGGTGGGTTGGGGTGGGGATGGCCCGCGGGTGGGGTGGGGGAGGCCTGCAGGTGGGGTGGGGGAGGGGGAGGGGATGGGGGGGGGGGGCGGGGGAACAAAGACACAGTGGTGTGTTTATAGCTCCATGGTGGAATATGCACATTCTTTGGTTGAATGGCCATTGCACTATCCCAACACCTTGAGGGGCGGGGTGGGGTCCCTGGGTGGGGGGAAAGGAACGGGAGGGGGGTACTGAGAACCAGAATAATGGAATAATCCTGTCTTTCATTTCTTACACCTGCACCATATCAGGACCCCTGGAAGGGGAGTGCACATAAGGGGTTCCCGGTGGAGGGGGGGGGGGGCGTGGGGGAGGATGCCTCGTGAGTGTAGAGGGGGCCGGGGTTAGAGTACTCAAAACCAGGAAGCTTAAAATCCGGGGGGGGGGGGGGGGGGGGGGGGGCTCAAAAGGAGGAGGTGGAATTTCATATTTCCTATTCTTTTTTCGGTCCTTGCAACATATCCCGACCCTAGTGGGCGATGGGTCGTGGGGGGGGCCCCACCAACACAGAAATCTTGATATGCAAATAGGTAAACAGCGCCGCTCATATAGCATCATCATGAAATTCTTGCTTACGCGCATGCCATCTACTTCGGCCAATTTTCGTCCAGACTCCTTCAGTTTTATGAATAATATCACTGTAGGCCTACATCGGAGGATGCACCTGCCAGAAATTTACATGCTGAAAGCAACAGAATCATGTCCGCTTCCTTTTGCCGAAGACAGAGTCAAAATTGTTAAAATGAAAGGGTGAGTTTTGACGATTAAAATATTGTTTTAGCGTTTTCCTTTTTGTAACTCAAACTTCGTATTGTCCAAGGGAGTCCATCTTTCAATCCTGTTTTTCTTCCTTCCAACATTTTGTTTGAGATCAAATGAATTAATTCCGAGTAGTTGAGTTTTTTAGCTGGCGAATGGTGTGGCCTAAGTGGGTGGTCGGTTTAATAGTGCGATGGTCGCGAGCAAAATGCATGGAAATTCATCACTGGAACTGCCAAAATTGCGAATGATTTTCAAATGATCAGCGCGCGGTTATATCCGGCCCGCCGGCACCGCGCGCGTTCTAATAAAAACCAAGATTAATATAAATAATCGGTTACACCTCTATGTTCCGACACCCTATGTTCCGACTGCACATATTCCTATTCCTAGCCCTAACCCTAAACGGGAGTAACACAATCTAGGTTGTCGGAACATAGGGGTGTCGGAACATAGAGCAGTCACCAAATAATCAAGATGTTTTGTTTTTGATAAATGATGTGACTTTATTATTGGGATGAACTACTTTCTTTTTTTCCTTTTCCCTGCCCTGGATA